TTCGTGGCAAGGTAGACTAGCAAACATGCCCAACCTTTACTCACATCCGAGAAAACACTCCCAACAAGATTGCTTACTCCAAAATTGAAGAGGCACCGCCTTCCGAATCTCGAGAGCCAGACTCCCAACATGATTACTCTCTCAAAAATCGAAGAGACACTGCTCCCCGAATCTCGAGAGCCAGACCCCCACCATGATTGCTTTCTCAAAAATCGAAGAAGCATCGTTCTCCGAATCTCGAGAGCCAGATACCACATACCACTTTTTTCAAAGTGCTCTGACAGAGTTAAAACATGTGAAGCTGGCAGCTCCCACTACCGTGCTATGACCAAGTAGGGTAAAGGAATAGCATTACTACTTGTTGTTAGGGAGACTCCTATATATGTCGACCTTCATCCCCAACGGACAGGCAGACCTGCAAAAATGCTCAACCCTTCCTCATATCTGAGAGGGCACTCCCAACGAAGCCTTTTGAAATATTCAGCTTTCTTTCCCCCCGATAATACCTCTGCAAACAAGCTATACTAGAGCAAGAATATCTCATATCATCAGGGTTAAAAGCAAGAGTATCCCATATCATGCTTTTTCCCTGTCTTTTCCTTTGGCCTTGTTTTTACCTGCAAGACAAGGAGAAAGAGAGCAATCAGTCAGCACTTGAAATCAAGCTCCCAGCCAGGAACTGACAGCCTGGAACCCCTTACCTGATTACTTACCTGGTATTGCTCTCGAGTACTCATCTTCAACATCTTATGTTGCCAGGGAAGATACCCCATCTGCTTGAGGAACAGATAGGGCAAGTGCGAAGGATACAAGGAAGCATGTGGAGACAAGCGTAACAGCACACGTGCCGATCCATCCATTACTCTGTCAAAAGCAAAAGTATCCCATATCAGCAGGGTCGAACGTACTCTAGATTTGATGGACTTGTTTTGACCCTCAAATTCTTTAGTCGGCCTTATACTCTGGAGGAAACCAGAAAACCCTCCAGCTCAGTTCAAGAATAAGCCTGTGGAAAGTTACTTCTTCAAAAGCAAAAGTATCTCATATCATCTCTTCTCATTTTTCTTCTCTTTATCCTTCATGCTGCTGCAAGATGGGGAGAAGGTGAACAATCAGCCGGAGCTCTGATTGCTTACCTTGTCTGTCACCTCTTTCAGCAAATCCCCTAGCTCGGCGACTTGGGGGACTCCTACTACATGGTTTGTATCGCGCTTGACCAAGCCTGAAACTACAAGTAAGCTTCAAGTGACATTGATACATTACCTTGTGCATCTCCACCAGTTAAAGATACCACCCCTGGATGGAGGAAGAGTACTTCCAGAGAAGCTGCCACATCTACCTATGAGACAGATAAGGCAAGTCAAGATGATACCACACTCCGAAACTTAGAAGTTTCGTGATTACGAGATCCTTCTCCCACAATATTTCCTAATGTCATTTGTACTCTAATGTCATTTGTACTAAATCATTCACTTGTACTCACTAAAGGAGAGCTTGAACCTATGTACTTGTGTAAACCCTTCACAATTAATGAGAACTCTTCTATTCCGTGGACGTAGCCCAATCTGGGTGAACCACGTACATCTTGTGTTTGCTTTCCTATCTCTATCCATTTATATACTTATCCACACTAATGACCGGAGCAATTTAGCGAAGATCACAAAAAGCGACCGTTTTCGCTACCTAGGATCTATCTTACAAGAGAACGGAGAATTAGATGGAGATCTCAACCATAGAATACGAGCTGGATGGATGAAGTGTAAGAGTGCATCCAGCATGTTGTGTGACCGTCGTAGGCCACTGAAGCTCAAGGGAAAATTTTATAAGACGGCAATAAGGCCAGCGATGTTGTATGGCACAGAATGTTGGGCGGTGAAACATCAACACGTACACAAAATGGGTGTAGCAGAGATGAGGATGCTTCGTGGGATGTGTGGGCACACGAGAAAGGATAAGATTGAGAATGAGGATATCCGAGGTAAAGTAGGAGTAGCCGAAATTGAAGGAAAGATGAGAGAAAATCGGTTTTGGTGATTTGGACATGTGCAAAGAAGGCCGACTGACGCTCCGGTTCGAAGATGTGACTACGGGACAGAGGTTCAGGGCCGAAGGGGTAGAGGAAGACCTAGGAAAACTTTGGAAGAGACTCTAAGAAAAGGCTTAGAGTACTTGGATCTAACGGAGGACATGACACAAAACTGAGCGCAATGGCGTTCTAGGATTCATATAGCCGACCCCACTTAGTGTGAAAAGGCTTTGTTGTTGTTGTTGTTGTTGTGTTAATATCATTGTAGACAAAAGCATTATAGTATGTAGTTACTGTAAATTCTTCTTCGAAGAGGTTCTTCTTTCTATTGTTTAGTTTTTGGTAACAAAAGCTAATTTAAACAGCTCCAAATGTCAACGAAATGCAAAGTAACAGGTTTTATATTTGATATTATCTTTGATTGAGCTTCTGGTCAATCTAATTGGATATGACTTTTTTTTTTCTTACTTTTTGTCAATGTATGTATTTTAAATACTACAAACAATTTACACTTCCACTCATATTTTCATTTCAAACACTTCTTTTGCAGCTATGGAAACAAGCATTAATGTTGTGGTAAATTTGAATTGACACAGCAGTTTCATGTGGAATGGGAAAGTGTGACATATATGTCAAAGAAAAAAAAGTAGATATTACGCTACGAAACCATATACACTATGAACTCATCTTTAGCAACTTTTAATAAGATAAACTATTCAAATAGATTTGATAGAAGTGATTCGGATATGTGGTACTGTAAGGAAAAGATGATGGATATGTATCCTTAGTCTTCAGCTTAATGTCATAAATTAATTGTTTAGTTTGTTCTCTAACACTATTATATAGTTCTTACTGTATTTTTTCCTTTCTTTATTACTAATCAACATGTAGCCATAATCACTGCAAAATGACACATAATACTGTGTAGAAAAAGAGAACAAAAATTAGTTGAAGGCTTCATATATTTTTGTCTATTTGCATGTATCTGAAATGTTGATCACATTAAGCTTCATTATTTCAATACATTTCTATTTATTTGCATGTATGTCATGTGGTAGTGATGTTGAAAACCGAATGTGTGAAAGTGAAGTTTTAGATAGACGTGTGGTTGAAAAGATACAACAGATGTTGAACAACCATAATCCTTTTGTTCATACATCTCGGGCAACGCCAAGATTTGCCGCATTACAAGTTGATCCTAAAAGAGCAACCAATAGATCAGCGTCAGTATAGTCTACCATCAGCATCACAAGTTGCAGCAATTATAATAGATGGAGATAATGCCACAATTGCAAATGGAAGGGATATCGTGGTGGAAACAGATACTGGTAGACTTTCTCACGTCCGAGACTACGTTGGATTTTATGATCCATTACAATATCCATTATTGCTATCTTACGGTACATATGGTTGGGATGTTAATAGTCGTGATGATGGTGGAAGAGCAATAACATGTTGTGACTATTATGCTTATATGTTTCAAGTTTGTGCCGATAACATCATTTACTCAACCAGTATATATAGATGAATGATGATTCCCATAGTAAAAGCAATATATGAAATTGACTTTTGCAAATATGCCATAATGGATCCTCACTTTTGCTTCAAGGTGGGCGTATCTTGCAACAATATGTTGTAGATAACTACATTAAAATTGAATCACAAAAACTTATATGGTTGCATTTTAATCAAGCCACAGTTAGAGTTGATCTCTACAAAGGACTTGAACTCTTTAAATGCATGTCAACACAATGCAGGTATATATATCGTTAAAGTCATCGTTATTTAGGAATATAACTTTGTTCAAAGTTTGTACAATATATATAGCTACTAATTGAAAATAAAAAATTATCAGTAGCATCGACAGTAGAATTATTTTACCATCATTGTTTGTTGAAAGCCCACGTGACATATACCAACGATATCAAGATGCAATGACTCTGGTTCAAAGATTCGGAAAGCCAGATTTTTTTATTACCATGACATGTAACCCAAGTTGGGAAGAAATCAAAAGCGAATTACTCGCTGGACAAACACCACAAGATCGTCCTGACTTACTCATTAGAGTATTTCGTGCAAAACTAGAGCAACTAAAAGAAGACATTATTGAAAAGGTGGTACTGGGCAATGTTGTTGCTTACTCATACATTATTGAGTTTCAGAAACGTGGTCTTCCACATGTGCATATGTTGGTCATGTCAGATGAAAATGACAAGATCAATAACCCCAAATGAGTATGACCGAATTGTTAGAGCTGAAATACCAAACGAAGACATAGAGCCTTAACTTTACAATGTGGTATTAAAGCATATGATTCATGGCCCGTGTGAGATTCATAATCCTCAATCTCCATGTATGAAAAATGGGAGTTGTAAGAGAAAGTATCTCAAATCATTTGCACCAATCACTGTTCAAGGGAATGATTCGTATCCAATTTATCAAAGGCGAGGAAATCGATTGCCAGTCTCACTTGATCGACAAGGAAACATAATGGTTGATAATATTTGGGTCATTCCATATAATCCATGGTTGTTGTTAAGGTATGATTGTCACATTAATGTTGAAATTTGTTCAAGCATAAAAAATGTCAAGTACTTATAAGTATGTTTACAAAGGCCTAGACAGAGTAACAATCAAACTACAATTACTACAATCAGACCTTGAATACGATGAAATAAGGCAGTTTCAGGATGCAAAATGGGTTTGTGCACCAGAGGCATTATAGAATATATTCAAGTTCATTATTAATCGAATTTACCCATCTGTTGAGCAATTGCAAATACATCTTCCTAATATGCACCAAGTTCAGTTTCGTACCGACAAGAGTATAACAAATATTGTACATGATGAGAGTACAAGAAAGACAATGTTGACCACACTTAATCATGTGGATGCAGAAGCGCGATGGTACTTATACATGAAGATCCCATCACACTACAGATAGATTCAAGCTTAAAGAAAGTCGTCTAAAAGAATGAATCATAACAAGGTTATTGGGCGAATATATGCAGTTTCACATGATGAAGGCGAAAAATTTTACCTTCGGATTCTTCTTAATCATGTTAAAGGACCAACATCCTTCACAAACTTGAGAACAATTAATGGGGTTTTGCATCCAACATATAAGCAGGCAGCACAACAACGGTTGTTAGAAATAGATGACAGTATTCGACAATGTTTGCTAGAGGCCTCCACAATTCAGATGTCGTCAGCTTTAAGAAGATTATTTGCCACCATATTGGTATATTGTGCACCAATTGGTGTTCAAGGGTTATGGGATGAGTTCTATCCATTCATGATAGAAGATTATGTTTCCACAACTAACATAACTCTCACACTTGCTACAAACATACTCTTGCGTGAGTTAAACGCACTTTTGGTTCAATTTAATAAGAGTATAAAAGAGTTTGATTTTCCCCAAATGACAAGAGGAATTAAATCAAGTTCAGGAATGACAAGATGTATTGAAGATGAAATATCCATAAGTATTCCACAACAAGATCTTGATGCAATCAAATGCTTAAATGATTACCAAAGAAGTGCATTTGACACAATAATGGGTGCAATTCAACGATCAGAGAATGCAACATTTTTTGTGGATGGTCCTGGTGGAACTGGAAAAACTTACTTATATTGTGCATTGTTAGCAAGCTTGAGAAGGTTGGGGCACATAGTATTAGCAATAGCATCATCTGAAAGTAACTACAATATTGCCTGGTGAGAGGACAGCCCATTCTAAATTCAAGATACCACTTAGTCTCAATGCATCATCGATGTGTTCAACTAGTAAGCAATCTGATTTAGCAAACCTAATACAAAAGGCAAAGACAATTATCTGGTATGAAGCAACAATGATGCATCGTCATGCATTTGAAGCACTTGATCGGACGTTCAAAGACTTAATAGATATTGACTTACCATTTAGGGGGAAGATAATGATATTTGGAGGAGACTTTCGACAAGTTCTTCCTGTTATCCGGAAAGGTACCAAGTCCGAACTAATCCAAATTAGTGTCGTTAAAGCATCATTTTGGCCACAGGTAAAGATTTTAAAACTCAAACAAAACATGAGATTCATAAATGATCATGAATTTTTAGAATTTTTACTTCGTGTTGGTGATGGGAATGAAGATGTTATTATGGACAATATGGTAAAACTACTTGAATGCATGGTGATACCATGGGAGAGTGAGCATTCCATTAATCTTTTAATTGCTAAAATCTTCCCTGATTTAGAGGATCATATAAATGATGCAACATACATGGTGGAAAGGGCAGTGGTAACTCCTACAAATGAAGACGTTGATATGTTGAATGAAAAGATAATCAATATGTTTCCAGATTTAGAAGAGACAATGTATTCATTTGATTCAGTTGAGGATAACCCAAGGAATTTGTATCAGCCAGAGTTCTTGAATTCAATTTCACTTGGTGGTTTGCCTCCGCATAACTTAACTCTGAAAAGAGGTGCTCCAATCATGCTTTTAAGAAATATTGATCCGAAATTAGGATTGTGTAATGGTACAAGATTATTGTGTCGTGGTTCTTACCAAAATCTTATTGATGCTGAAATTCTAATTGGACAATTTGCTGGATCCAGAGTTTTCTTACCAAGAATTCCTCTTAAAAGTACTGATATTGCTGGGCTTCCATTTGAACTTACAAGAAAGCAGTTTCCAATGATACTAAGTTTCTCTATCACTATAAACAAATCTCAAGGTCAGACAATACCACATGTGGGCATTTACCTTCCAGATCATGTCTTCAGTCATGGACAATTATATGTGGCTTTATCGATAGGGGTCTCAAAATCAACCACAACCATGTTAGTAAAAAAATGGCTTCATAGTAGGCCAAGAAGGTGTATTTACACGGAATGTGGTATACAAAGAAGTCTTGCTTCATTCCAGCTAATTATGGTGATTTCTAATAGGTAACAACTTTATTAACGATAACCTTTTAGTATGCATTTCTCACTTATCAATTAACTCTTTTTATTTGATTTTTAATTTTCTAACTATCGTTTGTAGATTGGCAATGAAAATGTGGAGCCTCAATCATGAACAAATGGGTGGAAATTGCAACATTGATGTTAATATGTAAACTTTCTTTCCAAAAGAAACAGTGACATATAGACTTCATGGGTATTGTGAATAATGTACGTATTGTGATGTAGGTTTTATATTTTGACATTTAAGTTGTTTTGTATTTTGCTACAAGTACTAAATGTTTTCATCTACTCTTCTTTTCTTTTTTTTTATTTACATCTACTTACTATTGTTCATGGATTTTAGGTAGGAACTTGCATCCAAAATCCCACATTGTTTGACAATTGCATGAATAACATTTAAATCATTATGTTATGCATAGTAAAAACGAAAAACATGACAACTTTTTAGGACTTGCATGGTAAAGAAAAAGTTCTTCTTTGCACAATACATTTAAAATATATTTTGACAATTAGAATGAAAAAAAATTAACTCAATACAACTTTAGGGGCACGTAACGCCAGTGATGCAAAAATGCCTCTCGTGCGTGCGGAGAGGCTAGTCTTATCTTTAATTGCGATCACTACAACTTTATCTCAGATATCCTCATTCTTAATCTTGTCATTTTTCATGTGCCCACACATCAAACAAAGTATTCTCCTCTCTGCTGCACTCATTTTTTACACGTGTTCATACTTGACCACCCAATATGACTTTTCACTAAACAGAAAATTTAAGGGAGTTTTGACAAAACACTCCTGGTACTGTTTACTTTTAACGAAAACCCATATTTTTACCTTTCTCTGGTACTATTCACTACACCTTTATTTGTCATTTTTCATTAAAATTAAAGTTTTTTTTTAACTTTTCGTTAGTTTTCCTAAAATTTAAAGCTGTGATCAGAATGGTGACGTGAACTTTATCCCTAATAATCGTGGGGGACTTTCCTAAGTGTATCACATCAGGTAACCAATGGAAAGTATTCCTGCAAAAATTCTACAGCATCTTAATCTTTGGAATGCTTCTTCAAACAAATACGTGCCACAATTAGGTAAGGAAAAACAAGATGGTGATGTGCTACAATTAGGCAATGAATTTTTTCCAACCTATCGCTATAAATTTTTTCCAATTTCTACCTATCACTATAAAGTTTTTCCAATTTCTACTTCACCTTCCAAACTATCTTATCTTTAATTGCGGTCACTCCCACTTTATCTTAGATATCCACATTCTTAATATTTTCCTTTTTTATATGCCCACACATCAAACGAAGTATTCTCCTCTCCGCTACTCATTTTTTGCACGTGTTCGTACTTGACCACCAAATATGACTTTTCACTAAACAGAAATTTTAAGAGAGTTTTAACAGTACACTCCCGATACTGTTCACTTTTAATGAAAAACCATATTTTTACCTTTTTCCGGTACTATTCACTACACATTTATTTGTCATTTTTCATTAAAACTAAAGATTTTTTTGAACTTTTTGTTAGTTTTTCTAAAATTTAAAGATGTGATCAGAATGGCGACGTGAACTTCATCCCTAATAATCATGGGGGACTTTCCTAAGTGTATCACATCAGGTAACCAGTGGAAAGGATTCCTGCTAAAATTCTACAGCACCTTAATCTTTGGAATGCTTCTTCAAACAAATATGTGCCACAATTAGGTAAGGAAAAGCAAGACGGTGATGTACTACAATTAGGCAATGAAGAGCAAGATGGTAACCTATACCTACTATTATGACAGGTTTTAAGTTTCAACCTATCGTTATAAATTTTTTCCAATTTCTAGTTCACCTTCCGAACCATTGTATCTTTAATTTCGGTCACTCCACTTTATTTCAGATATTTTCATCCTTAATCTTTTCCTTTTTCATGTGCCCACACATCAAACGAAGTATTCTCCTCTCCGCTACACTCATTTTTTGCACGTATTTGTACTTGACCACCCAATATGACTTTTCACTAAACAGAAAATTTAAGGGAGTTTTAACAGAACACTCTTGGTACTGTTCAATTTTAACGAAAAATCATATTTTTACCTTTCCCCGGTACTATTCACTACACTTTTATTTGTCTTTTTTCATTAAAACTAAAAAAAATTTTTTGGACTTTTCGTTACTTTTTCTAAAATTTAAAGCTGTGATCAGAATGATGACGTGAACTTCATCCCTAATAATCGTGGGTGACTTTCCTAAGTGTATCACATCAGGTAACTAGGGGAAAGTATTCCTGCTAAAATTCTACAGCACCTTAATCTTTGGAATGCTTCTTCAAACAAATATGTGCCGCAATTAGGTAAGGAAAAGCAAGACGGTAATGTGATACAATTAGGCAATGAAGAACAAGATGGTAACCTATACCTACTATTATGACATCTTTTAAGTTTCAATCTATTGCTATAAATTTTTTCCGATTTCTAGTTCACCTTCCTAACTGTGAAATCCCGTCCCTGAATTTCACTATTGCAAATTACGTATGTGTATTAAGGAGTTATTATATTAATTTTGGGATTTGTATTAATTGTAGAGTGTTGAGATTGTGTATTCAAAAGATATCATGGTGAAAAAGCTACAATTAAAAAGTTGCCCTTAATTAATTAAGGAGAAAAACAAAAGAAAAAAAAAGATTAAAGAAAAAACCATGGGGGGTGGTTGAAAAAAAGGGGGAAATGGAGAAAGAAAAAAAATAAGGAAAGGAAGAGGAATTTGGGGAGAGAAAGGAGGGAGGCTTGGCCAACGGGAAGGAGAAGGAGAAAGGAGGAGCAGCCAATCAAAACACAGACCAAGGAGGGGAAAAGAGAAAGACCCGAGTTAGGTCGTTTTTGACCCGCGAACCTCCATTTTTGACCTGGCCATATCTCCTTCATCCGAACTCCGTTTTGGGTGATCTTGGTGTCCATGGAAATCCCTTGATGAGCCCTACATCTTTGTAGTGTTAGATTTCCCAATTTCATTCCCATTTTTCCAGTTCGAAGGCACAAACCCACGGGTATTCCGGCCGCTTTATTCCTTTTTCCGGTGGCTTCGGCAATTTCACCGTCCATGACCACCACTAAAAGACTTCCCTCAACCCCAGGAACAAAGCCCAAGTAGTGTTGGAGGCGTCAAAGTTCGATTGGAAGCCGAATCAAAACACACCCTTTTCTAGGGTTTCGGCGGGTTTGAGTGAAATTGAAGTGTTTCTCGGCCAAATTGGACTTGGCCACAGGTATAAAGCTTGCTCTACTCTTTGAGATCTTCATTTCTGTAATTTTTGGTAATTCTTTAAAAATAGTTTAATTTTCCAGCAAGTCGGGGCGGCCAACCGCCACCCGCGGCGACGCGTGTGGCGGCGACCTAGCCAGTGGGCTGACGATGTCCTTTTAAGTTCAATTAGATGCCCTGATTTCATAATTGATATCCTTATGATATGGTTTGATTGTTTGAACCTAATTTCATTACGATACGTGGTTAGGTCAAAAATATGATTCGATGATCCGACCGTTGGATCGTCACCAAACCTTACTGCGTGATATAACATAATATTTTTGGATCATAGAAACTTACGGATCGAGAATCCGACGTACGGATCTTCCCTAATTGGATTTCTAAGTTTGTAAAATTAAATGTCGACCGCCACTTGAATTTTGAAATTGGGGGAGATCCGACCGTCGGATCGTGTTGAGATTTTAGTATGGTGTTATTTGAGCATAATGTGGACTTTGGAAAGTTACGGATCTGAAATCCAATGTGTGGATCTTCCGGATTTAATTGTGTAGAATTGTGGACCCTACCTTTGATCGAAAGTTGACTTTTGATCAACATGTCTCGAAACGTCCTAATTACTAAAATTAGTACTACAGGGGACTAAGTGAAGTCTAGTGGGCCTACATTGGTTAGATAGCGACTTGAATATATAAAATATGATTATTATCTTAATTTCTTATATTAGTATCATTTGATAATATGAATTGGTCTTATAAATATGATTTTTATTGAAATGTGATTTTATATATTTAGCCATAGACCAATGTTTATTAAACATGATTTGGATCGTGTACTGTTGATGATTGCGATATGTGATTTGACTTGCATATTTGAAAGGTGGTTGATTTGCATAGATGGTATGATATGATAAAATGTGAGTGACTTTAATATATGTGATATAGGTGATTTCCCTGTTTTCATAATTATTGTCCTGAGTGGATATGAGATGGTTTATGATTATATTTCCTATAAAATGTTTAATTTTTATATTTAGCCATCGTTGTAGTTTTATGATGTGGGAATTGAAGTGCATATTGGGAATATGTGTTGTTTTGTATGATTAGTATGTTGTGTATGATTACTTTTATGACAATGTGATCCTAGAATCCTATTAGAAGTATGTTGTAACACTTATATGCTTGTGTAACATATTAGTTGGTGGCCATGAGAAGTGAATATGGTAGGTGACTACGTTGTGATTATAGAGATGATGAGGTTTAGATATACCTGGTACATTCGGTAGGTACCATATCCACATGGATTCCGTTGAGTGATGGTCCGGAATCGTATCCTTATTTGGATTCCATTGAGTGATGGTCCGGAATCCCTTCTACTCCGCGATTCCGTTGAGTGATGGTCCGGAATCGTATCCTTGTTTGGATTCCATTGAGTGATGGTCCGGAATCGTATCACTTGACTTGGTGGTTTCTTGGATTTGATATCAGCTTCAAAAATGTAGGCTTGGCTTAACTGTGTCACTCTAGCCTTAGTTTTAATATAATTGTGAGCCATGGTTTCGAGAATCTTGTGAATTGAATTAGAAAAACTATTGGACGTCTGGGTGACTCCTTCAGGATTTTCTATGATTCGATTATGATTTCATAAGTATGAATTTAGAAGATATGGTTATGGTTGTTATTATTTTGGTCAAATGACTTAATTAATGTGGCTAGAGAATGGTATTGTGCTTCGTCGGTTCTTGATGTGATATATGTTGTGAATTGCGGTATCATGTTGCGATATAATGAATTATATAAAAGATGGAAGGAAAATCATGATTTTCAAGTGGGTTTGTTATGTAACCTTGAGTCTAGTAATTTCATGCTTGTCAAGTTCTACTGATTGACTGAGAAATGTTATGCCTTTCGGCTTAAACGGACTGTGATTTATGTCGAGTTATAGCGAAGAAGACGAACTACGAATGGCTTGATCCCTAATGAGGGTACGTAGGCAGTCTAACGAGGAGGTTAGATGCAGCCATAAAGTGTACGAAAAATTATCATGCATCTGGATCTTGAATTATACTTGGTACATATGATAAAGGCAGGGTATGTTGAGTTACGGGCATTTAGTGACGTCATGTGTTGATCTTGGATGTATGTCGGGATCGGGACGTGACACTAACCATCTTATCTTTAATTGCGGTCACTCCCACTTTATCTCAGATATCCACATTCTTAATCTTTTCCTTTTTCATGTGCCCACACATCAAACGAAGTATTCTCCTCTCCGCTACACTCATTTTTTGCACGTGTTCGTACTTGACCTCCCAAGATGACTTTTCACTAAACAGAAAATTTAAGGGAGTTTTAACAGAACACTCCTGGTACTGTTCACTTTTAACGAAAAACCATATTTTTTACCTTTCCTTGGTACTATTCACTACACCTTTATTTGTCCTTTTTCATTAAAACTAAAGTTTTTTTTGGACTTTTCCTTAGTTTTTCTAAAATTTAAAGCTGTGATCAGAATGGTGACGTGAACTTCATCCCTAATAATCGTGGGCGATTTTCTTAAGTGTATCACATCAAGTAACCAGTGGAAAGTATTCCTGCTAAAATTCTACAGCACCTTAATCTTTGGAATGCTTCTTTAAACAAATATGTTCCACAATTAGGTAAGGAAAAGCAAGACGATGATGTGCTACAATTAGGCAATGAAGAGCAAGATGGTAACCTACACCTACTATTTTGACAGCTTTAAAGTTTCAACCTACCGCTAGAAAAAATTTCCAATTTCTAGTTCACTTTCCGGGACCATCCTAGGTTTGTAATTACCATCTCAATTATTGTGGTCCTGCGGCAAACATTTTGGCTATGTGACAGATTTCTTCCTTTGTTATATACTTTCATCATCTAAAAGTAACTTGGCTTCTGATTTTATCCGTAACTAGAACAAAAAAAATGGTGCATTCACGTACCTGTTCTTGCAAGGTTTTCTTCAAATTTCTTCTCCTTTTATGCATGGCCACAGGTCTGCAATCTGCAACACTTTCCACTTATAGAAATGAATCCGATCACCTGGCGTTGCTAGACTTCAAGAAACGAATTTCTCAAGATCCTCTCCAAATCATGAGCTCATGGAATACTTCAATCCATTTCTGCAGTTGGGTAGGGGTTACATGCAACCACGCCAACAAAAGAGTCATGATTTTGAACCTGGAAGCTCAAAAACTGGTAGGCTCCTTATCACCTTTCATTGGAAATCTTACTTATCTTACTGGAATTAACCTGATAAAGAACAACTTTCATGGTGAAATTCCTCAAGAAATTGGCCGCCTACTGAACCTACAACATCTCAACCTTTCTTTCAATTCTTTCAGTGGAAAGATTCCAAGTAATATATCTCATTGTACACAACTAAGAGTGCTCGATCTTGTTCTCAATGAGATTATTGGTTCGATCCCAAACCAACTCAGTTCATTGTATCATTTACTTGCCCTAGGTTTTTCTGCTAACAATCTTACCGGAACTATCCCCGCTTGGATTGGAAACTTTTCATCTTTGGAAATTCTATCGCTTGCTATCAATAATTTTACCCAATGAGCTCGGACGTCTAACAAACTTGAGAAGGTTTGTACTCTGGGGAAATAATTTGTCTGGTACGGTACCTGCTTCACTCTATAATATATCATCCATATACTATTTCACTGTTGCTTCAAACCAGCTGCACGGAGAGATACCACCAGATGTCGGCATTACGCTTCCTAATCTCGAAGTATTTGCCGGTGGGGTCAACAAGTTCACCGGAACTATTCCACTATCATTGGCAAATGCTTCTAGACTTCAAGTGCTTGATTTTGCTACAAATGGTCTCACCGGGACACTCCCTGCTGAAAACCTTGCAACCTTGCAAAGCTTAGTTAGACTGAACTTTGATGAAAACAGACTAGCAAGGGGGATAACCGATGGCAAGGATTTTCTTGGTCTCCTCGCTAATTGTACGAGTCTAGAGGTGTTGGGTCTTATGGGAAATTATTTTGGAGGAGAATTGCCCGGATCAGTAGCCAACCTTTCTACGCAACTGAGAATTCTTACTTTGGGGTCAAATTTGATGCATGGCAGCATCCCCAATGACATTGGAAATCTTGTCAATCTGACTAGTCTAGGACTGGAAGGAAACTATTTGGGTGGTCGTGTCCCCGATGGAATTGGGAAGCTTCAGAAGTTACAGGGACTGCATTTGAATGTTAACAAATTTTCTGGGAGAATCCCTTCTTCTTTAGGTAACTTGACGTCATTGACAAAGCTCTTCATGGAAGAGAACATGTTTCAGGGAAGCATACCTCCAAGCCTAGGAAACTGCCAAAAGTTACTGGTACTTAATCTTTCAAGTAACCGTCTAACCGGCAAGATACCTAAAGAGCTTATTGGACTTTCATCCCTTTCAATCTCTTTGTCCATGTCGAACAATTCTTTGATTGGTTCGCTACCATCTGAAGTGGGAAAGTTGGTAAGTCTCGGAGAGCTAGATGTATCTAGAAACAAGTTAACAGGTCAAATCCCAGAAGCCTTGGGAAGTTGTACCAGTTTGGAGCGCCTTCACTTGGAAGGTAATGAATTTGAAGGAACAATCCCCCTATCTCTTATGAATTTAAGAGGCTTAGAAGAAATGGATATTTCGCACAATAACTTATCTGGGCAGATTCCTTACTTTCTTGGCAAGTTTAGAGTTCTTAAGGAACTCGATCTTTCTCATAATAATTTTGAGGGTGAATTACCTAAAGAAGGGATATTCTCAAATGCAAGTGGCATCTTAATTCTTGGAAACGAGAAGCTCTGTGGTGGCATCCCACAGTTACGTCTACCTGTATGCTCCATCAAAAAGCCCCATTCATCTCGAGGACTACGAGGCCTAAAAGTGATCATCCCTATAGCTTGTTCTCTTCCGTTCATAATTGCTCTATCATATTATATTGCCGCTTGTTCCATGGCGAAAAGGTCGAGAGGAAAATCGGTTACTTCACGTCCTCATGAAGATTGGAAATCAGGTTTCTCGTACTCAGAACTTGTTCAAGCAACTAACGGGTTCTCTGCGGACAATCTGATTGGTTCGGGAAGTTTTGGTTCTGTTTACAAAGGAGTAATCCCTAGTAATGGTGCAACAGTTGCTATTAAGGTATTCAACCTTCAACAACAAGGAGCTTCCAAGAGCTTTATTGATGAATGCAAAGCTTTGAGAACTATAAGGCATCGTAATCTCCTCAAGATTGTAACTGCCTGCTCAAGTATTGATAATCAGGGTAATGACTTCAAAAGTCTAGTTATGGAGTTCATGGAAAATGGAAGTCTAGACCTCTGGCTGCATCGTGGAGACAATGAACAACCAGAAGGTAAGAGACTGAGTATTATCCAAAGACTGAATATTGCCATTGATGTTGCTTCTGCCTTAGATTATCTACACAACCATTGTGAGATGTGCATTGTTCATTGTGATCTAAAGCCAAGTAACGTACTTCTTGATGAAGATATGGTTGCCCATGTTGGTGACTTTGGTTTAGCAAGGTTCCTCGTTGAAGCAGCGAATAATCCCACGACTCCCACACCAAATCAAACTGTCTCAGTTGGGCTAAAGGGTTCCATAGGATACATTCCTCCGGGTATTGTTTCTAAAGTCCTTGTTTTAGTATTCCTAATAACTTATGTCTCTATTGGTCAAAAAGATTTGCTGCTTTGTTATTTACTAGACAAAAGTATCTTCCCAATTTTAAATAAGATATGAACTCTAAAGTTTTTCCTCAATACATGAACTGTAAAGTTTAATTGACTATGGAATCCTAATGTATGTATTGAAATGCAGAGTATGGCATGGGAAGCCAAGTTTCGATACTGGGAGATGTTTATAGTTATGGGATATTGTTGGTCGAAATGTTCACAGGAAAAGGTCCAACTGATGACATGTTCAAAGATGGTCTAAGCATTCACCAATTCACTGCCATGGCTTTGCCTGACCACGTCAATGACGTAGTTGAGCCCTCATTGCTCCTCGAAACAGATGACGAGGATGATGACAGTGACAAAGATGATGCATACGGCAATAAAATACAGGAAAGACCAACAGCCAGATACAAGGATCCCGGCCCGGACAAAGCAAAAAGATTGGAGGAATGCTTGAATTCAGTGATACAGATTGGGATCTCGTGCTCCGCAATATCACCAGGAGAGCGGATGCTTATGAATGTGGTTGTCAACAAAATGAATGCAATCAGAGACTCATATCTCAACTTAAGGACAGGTGGAAGAAGAAGAAGATGATGATGATGATGATGATGGTGATTGCAATGTGCAACACAGGCTAAGTTTTTCTACCAATTCCAACCTATATATAGCTTTATCTTTATGCAAGACATTATATTTGTATTTATGCATGTGACATCATGTAATGTTGAATCAGTATTTTATCTCAAATTTTCTCAACTGCTACTTGTTTGACACTTTATATATATATATATATATATTTGTCTCTTCATAACCGAAGGGCTTCTAATTTGGCTAGTTAAGAACATTCACTCTTGCATTTGAATTCCGTAGTTCAATTCCCCTCACCTCATACAAGGGAATACTTACCAGGTCATGAGGTAGCAGCAAAGTTGCACACCACCGCAAATAAGTGTTTCCAGTAAAATTACTGCAATTTGAGTTTAAATAACAGTAAAAATAATCAACTCTACAGTAAGAATTCGTGTTTGATTTTCTTGAAAAGGAGGGAGAGAATTTGATCGGTCTGGGATTAAATTTAGCAAAAGATCCTTAAAAGAACTTTACTATTATTCCACTTTTCCACCGTTCTCATGTTTACATCAACTGCTCTTATTTTATTTTATTTGGTAAAACATCAACTGCTCTTTCATTCAGAAAGAAAATTATTTCTTTAGCCTTTTGTATTTTCTTTATCTACGCCTATGATCAGACTTTAATCCCTTCCTTTCGGCCACTCTGTACCAAAATAATAATAATAATTTTATTGTAGACTTGGATTTAGCCAAAGAGAAATGCTAACAGGACACTCTCAAAAGTAACTGATCTCATACCCAATTGTTAATTTGTTCTCTCTAATCTATAGTCACCCCAATTTATAACTTCTCCAATCCCAAATACATAACATATCATAGAATATCAGCGTATAGCAGATGGCGCCATAACACATTGGTGGGAAACAATCATACTTACGCATCATTGTGCATATTCGGTCCTCACTAATTCTCCTTCCCATAATGACTAACTATTTAATCTAACACTATAATTTGTCAACAAAAAAAAATCTGCTTAATTATGAAAGATTTTATTGATATATTGTTGTATTGATATACCTACACTAAAAGAATTAGAGAATAAAGTAGTTGCAAATTCGTTATTCTCGAGTTTCCAATCTAAACTCTATTGATATATTAATATAAGGGTGGTGATATCCATACACACATTTTTACCTTGTCCACACCTCTGTTGATTTTTTGTCATTTAATCATCTTCAATTCATTTAATCTGACGACGAGATATGAGAGCGATGTGTGAAAGGTAAAAAAGAGTATGTGAATAGCACCACTCCAATACAAGAGGTTTTTTAAAATATCTCTACTAATTAATAAAACACTCATTGTCAACTAAAACCCTATGAAATTACCAATTTAACCATCTAATTAAAACAAAACATGAATAAGAAATATGGGGCAGAAATGTAATTTCACACAACCAAATTTTGATATTTTTTTTTCAAAGCCCCACCTACATGTAATCATAACATATCTATAAAATTATAAATAAATAAATAAACTCACTCCCACATTCTCTATCACTCTCTTCCTCTCTTCTTCTATTTCAAAAACAAAAATAAAAAAGTTTCTCACACACTTTGTGTGTGCCCATATGCTAGTATTAATTATTGAAAAAGAACAAACATGATGACAAGGGTCCAGACAATTGAATAATTAATGAAGGAAAGAAATCCTCTCATGATCTCTTCCACCAAAGCCCGCGGATCATCTCACAGCCCGTCCCGAAGTACAACTATCGACGATGTAAAATGACGATTTTATCCTCGAACGTTGAAATTGTAGTGTGTGTGTGTCATGCTTTTGACTTAGATGTTATTTTCTTTGGTTGATTGGTGAACCACGTGGAACACACACACAAACCCTCCTTCTCTCCCATGCCTTCCCTCTCTCTCCTTACTTTTGGATTTTTGTAGAAAACCCATACAAACGTACAGACAAACTCCAAGCTTCCATTTCAAGCACAGATCGACGTCAAGAAGGTAAGATTCAAACTCCTTGCAAGTACCTGTGTCACGCCCCGATCCCAACATATGTCGCAAATTGACACGTGGCAAAGAAAAAAAAACATTTGTTGAATATGACGTAAGTCCCTAAAAGATAAAGTACAAGAGTGAATCAAGGGTAACCTAACGCTCCACGTCTCTGATAACCGCACTGCTACCCCACCTACGGACTTCTCGGAGTCTACTCAAACCTATCACCTGTATGATCAGTGCCTACACCATCAGAATGGTGCATCGGGCAAACATCAACTTGATTAAGCTGTGAAGCTTGAGTGAGTGACAATAATACAAAGTATGTGATACAATAATAAAACCAGCCATCAATCACAATTTATAAACCTTGAATATAAATCATGCATGAGAAATTAATACCAAACTTTTGCAAATTCCGAATGAGTCACTCAGACATTTAACGATTCATCTGAAACAATCACAACATCTCACAACCATATTCTCATACAACACAATGAAAGATAGGGTTAGGGCGACATAGTTCGGCCGAAACCTACACCTTTGAAGCTATCTCAATCCAAACTAAAAAAATAAAAACTCAGGTGGATACGATCCCGGACCATCACTTAACGGATCGCAGAGTATGAAGGATTCCAGACCATCACTCCACGGAATCGCAGAGTATGAAGGATTCCGGACCATCTCTCAACAGAATCAGAGTGAAAATGATTCTGGACAATCACTCAACGGAATCACGAAAGGCCAACAACCATAATGTATAACGGCTCAAAGAAATGAGACAAGCACAAGTTACTTAATTTACAAAAACTCAACCAAGGGAAATAAAGCACAAATACTAAATGTAGAACGAATAAATGAAGCGGGAAATGAAACAATATTGAAGCAACAATTCCCCATCACAATGGGTTAACGGCCCACCACTAGCCTTCACATTTCATTACATCATGCCAATCAAACAAATCAAACCATATTTCAGTTTACATACATCAAATCTCATTTCATAACTTGAATCAATGGTTAAGCATTAAAATTAACAATTCCATAGAAAACATATATATATAACCAAGTCATATCCACACAGGATAACAATTATGAAAACAAGGTAATCACCAATACCACATATGTTAAAGTCACTCACTTATAGTCTGCGCTAATGCACCCTAGCACGAGAGTCAAGGCATCACGTTTTATCACCGCCTAAACAAGGTACAAGTCCACATTTAGATTTCCTTTGATAATTCATATACTTAAAAACTCTCATATGTCTCCCACAAAAACATTTAATGAGGAATCGAACCGTCATTCTAAGGTAGGGTCCATGATCTTATGTCACTTATTCCGTAAGATCCAACCACTAGATTTTCACTTGTAAGTCCCTAAGGTCCTTAAACAATATCTACCATAGCATACTAAAATTGGATGTAAATTCAATGGTAAGATCGTCAATTGTTAGAATAATCAAGTGGTGGACCTTATCAATAATATACTCAACCAACAACATTATCATAAATCGAATGTCACACATCGGGAAATTCGACTTTTTCCAAAAATTCTCAAATTTTACAAGAATGAAGTTCTCAACAAGTAGAGTAAACTTTATACCTGTGGCCGAGTCCAATTTGGCCGGGAAGGCCCTCAAATTGGCTCGCACCCATCGAAACCCTAAGGTGGGTGTTCTTCAATTCGGCTTCCTTGGTGTTCCAACGCCCACCCACCAGTTGGGCCTTGTTTATGAGTCCGAGGGAAGTTGAATAAGGGTGATGGTGAATGGTGATACTCACCGGAACGACGAATCGCCGTCGAGAACCCTCGGGTTCTCCAATGGAGTTCTATCCGAATTAGACCTAAAAAAACCCTTGATTTTTGGTGGAGATGGAAGGGAGAAGATATTTAAGCAAGTTACAGGTGAAGGAGATAGGAAAATCAGCTGAGAATTGGAGGAACTTACCTGAAAAGGGCCGGTTTTGAAAATGGTTTGGTGTGCACACGGGGTTCACCAAATGGGGAAGAAAGAAAAATGTCCCCTTTTTCCTTCTTATTTTGTCTCCCCCCCCCCACCACAAAAAAAACCATTTGATTGTTCTTTTTTTTTTTTTTGTTTGTTAAACTAACTTAACTTTTAATCCACATGTGGAAATTAAACAATTCCCACAATCTATAGTTCACAACTTCAAACGTCAGTAACTATATTGTTATAATTCGGACTCGCAAACGGTTTTCGCCTATGCGTTCGTGGGTTCGAGATCTATTTAAAAACACTAGTTGTAACTTCGAAATATCAACGAAAGATAAAGATTGATTAAGAAACTTCCAACTCGATAACTAATCAATTACTAAACTTAAAATTAACGGAATTAAAATTAACTAATAAAGATAACGTAATCGCGAAATACGAATTTAAAATATGAGATACATAATGAATGGTGAAATTCTGGGGATGGGCTTTCATACCCTGAGTTCATATATGCCATTTTTAGGACCTGAAAACCTCAAAAACCCCGAGAACTCTAACCTCCGATTTGGTGCACTGTTTATGCACATGTAAATGTGAAGGTTTCAGGTGATTTGAAGTTTGTCGGAAGCTTTAAAACATCCCTACGAAGCTCGGAGAAGAAAAACCAAGCGATTTGGACGTCAGGATCGTCAGTTTCAAGCTTGGCCGGTTTTTCTTGAAATTCTCCGGTGAGATCCCGTGGGATTTAGGTCCTAAAATTGGTATGGGTTTGTTCTACTTGTCCTAAGCTTCATTTTGATATATAATTCGTGAAATTTGGTTAAAAATCGAGTGAGATATCAAGGTTTTAAGATTTGCCCAGTTGCCGACGACGGTCGTCGAAGTCCTAAGGTTAGGGGTGACGGAATATTCCTAACAGCGTTGGTTAGTTTAAACGGATTTCATTACTATTTAACGGAATATTCCTAACGGCGTCACTGTTGCCGTTGGTGTGCCAGGCACATGCCCTGGCATGGGTGGCGCGTCTGACCGTGCCTTGGCCGGTGCGTGGGTGGTAGAAAATTTTTTCTAAAAATATGGGGATGTTCGTGAGGTTGTGTAGATCACGTTGGTATATTCAAACACCCCATTTAAGCATTGTATGAGAAGTTATTAGTTAGTATTGGTTAGGTGCTTAAAATTAACGTTTATTCAGTTAATTCGCATATAGGTGAGACTTATCCCGAGGACAAGTGCAGTCAATGGCGACTTGGGAGCTACGACCCTTCGACATACCAGTGAGTGGGCTTTTGGTTTTCAGTATATATTTATATACATGGTATTTTCCCAGAAAATACGTTTAAATGAAAGTATGCCTTGAATGCCATGCATATAAATTTATATTTTGTATATGAATTGAATTGTTTGCATATACATAATTGTGGTGTTGTGGACGCTCAGGTAAGTATCAGATGAGTTATGTTTTGTTATGAGAATTAATGATTAATGGCATGTGATTGAATAACGTTGAGCTCATGTAACTGCACCTAGGGTGATGTGATTTAGCCAGATATATAGCACAGGCCTGTTATTGATGTCACCTCCTGCACCATATGCTCACATTGGATCCAATTTAGGTGCACAGCCTTGTCGTATAGACCATAATAAGTGGTTCCGACTCGTAGGTGACTAGCGAATTATTGCCCAGCTATCATGAGAGAGTAGAATTGAGCATAATTATATTACACCCAATCTTGTCGTACAGACCCCTTTTTAGTGGTTCCGACTTATGTGCAGTGTAGTGCCGTATAGGTCATTGTAGTAACTCCGACTAGATTGACTATTGAGCTAAGAATTCAACCGTACAGACTACCATAGGGGTTCCGGCTAATATGTTATATTTTCCATGAATTTATTCTCACCTGAATTACTTATTTTGTTATATCTTGGCATGGCATACTTATGATTATGAATATGTGAAGCATGATTTGAATTGATATATTTATATATATATATATATATATATATATATATATATTTACGCATATACTTATATTCTAATTCTGGGAAAATTATACATGTTTTACGACAAGGGATTAGAACTGTTGAGAAATGAAATGGTTTTGTAAAACATTTGTTTTTGCCCACTCACGTTTTTTTGTTTTGCGCCGCTCCAGGTTTTAGGTAAGCTTGCTGTTGGTGGCTTTGAGGACTTCGGCGGTTCTGACATATAAAAAAAATAGTAGGACATTCCTAGTACTATATAACTATTACTTGTCCTACTGGACTGCACCTAGACTTATTATGCTCTGATTAGGAGTATTTACATTTGTATCTTACTCCCAGCACTTCCTGTTTATTAGTGCACATTAGTAGCTTTCGGTTTTTATTTATTCGTATAATTCTTATCTTTATGGCTTCCGCACTGTGCACATGGCTATGTTACCCTCACATGGAGGCCAGCATGTCTTGATCTCGGTCGGGGTGTGTCAGATCAAGTGATCCAAACCCTTGAAATTTGATCCAACGGCTAAAGTTATTATAACTTTTAAAAGTGGCCTCTGTTTTCAACTGTTAGATCAAATTTCAAGAGCCTAAATCACTTGATCCGCAGGCTTTGGTGAAAGAGATCATTAATGAAAACATTGTTACTCATCACTCTCAAGTGATAATGATACACATCACTTTATTTATCACCATTTGATAGGTTTAAATTTTAAGATTTGTAAAATGAGTAGACATAAAATTCAAAAATTAAAGTAATTAATGTAACGAGCATTACCACCAATGTATTTTGATGATCCCTACTTTATTGACCACTACTTATGTATTTGTTTATTGCTTTCATTGCTCCACCTGATGATTTTCGTGAATCTTTATTTTATAAAAACAATATTATTTCTGATGCCAATATTTCTACTTCAGCAGCTATAGGTTTGCACTTTTATCGTATATGAAAAACGGCTTCAGTGATGAGAAAAATGCACCCATAATCAATCGGTGGGTCGCCTATCTACCGACAAACAATTTAAAGATCAAGATTAATAGCAGCAGTGGTACCAAGCTTTCAGAAGTTCAGATTTCTTATTTCTAGCAAACAAGAATGGAGAAAATCACAAATTTATAGCTGCTGCAGACTGCAATCTGTTGAGGGCATGACTTCATCTTCCCCTAGCTGATTCACAGAACAAAGCAACTCCAGTTACTAGTATTTCAATCAGGCACTAACTCTTCATTTAGGTCAGTTTTTCTATGCTCTTTGATTATTTCTGATAAGTTTCAACCCAAAATATTTTGATATATGTTCTGGCAATTCAATTTCGATGCACTGTTAACAATAGTTGTCTCTTTTTTTCTGGTTGAAAACATCTAATTCATCAATATAATACATGGATATATAAAAGTGTTGTGGTTAGGACTTACTACCAATAGTTTTTCTTAGACCAATTTGCGCAAAAGAATATTTGAATGTGACTATCACTTTGTCACATTATTCGAATTATTAACATATGTTTTATAATATGAGTGGACGATATAGTTGATATTTTTTGCCGATTATGAAACTCAATGACAAAGCTACATAGGCACAAGGAGGTGCGGCCACCCCTCCGGTCATTGGGAATTGTTATTGAGAGTGAGGGTTCCGTCCCTTCGATCTTCTAAACCTGCCAAAATCTAGGGTTGGTGCACTGCGCTACTGGATTTTAATTTTGGGTAATACTATGGAAACTTTATTTGTAAACAAAATGACATTGAAGTTGATGATTGAATTATTACTTAAGTGTTAATTAACGTGCTTAACTTTATTGATGACATCTCATTTAGCTTGTAAATTTAGTCTTTAAATTTAGTGTACTTAACGTTACTCTTTAAATTTCTCGAAGGATGAAGACGACATGATTTTGTTCAAAACTGACCTCGTAGTTTACTTTGTTTACGCTATTGGTTACAAAACTCATGGAATTTTTAATGGAACAGAATGGTTTGGTGGGCTCCCCTAGTTTCTCTTTAATTTTTTTTTTTATTTTATTACCGTGGGCTTTTTTTCCAACTGCACCATGATTTAGTTGATTAAACATTATTTCTCAAAAAACCAGCCCACCATTTCAATTATCTTCCTTCTCTCTCATTTCTTTAAGACTAAAGAAAAACCAAAGGTTGATCTTTGTTATTGTTCTTTTTTAAGAACAAAGTTTGGCTGTTTAAGAAAAAGCAAGAGCTCCAGCCCTCACCTAATAACGACTTGACAATTGTCCTAAAAATGTTATAAAAAAAAAGCTTGAACAAACAACTTGGACACTTTTCAAGTTGTTATTGAGTGAGAGTAGCCAAGATTTGTTCCTTTTTTATTCTTGTTATTATTTCTAGAGTTTAAAATTATTTTTTCTTATTTTCTTTTAATCTTGAGAGATGTTGACTTTGAGAATTTATTTCATGATATACAAAAGTTTTGTCAAGAAAATGATGTAAATGACTTTAAGACCGTTTTCTGCTAAGAGTATTGTCAAAACATCATTGCGTAACAAAATACGAGATAATGATTGAGTGATAGCTTTGTTTACATTTTTTGCTTTTACTGATAATAAGCCTATTATGCGACGTTTTTATGACATGAAACATCACCGTCAACAATTACAATTTGTTTGTATTGATGAATTATGAACAACATCAATATTGTCTAGTATCTAAAAGGATTTGATTGTGTACATTTTTTTGAAACCTTATACACTTTTAAATTTCGCCCAACCCCCGACAATTCCTGATTTCGCATGACACTTCACTTTCTTGACTAGTAGGCTGTGTTATATGATTTTTTATCTGTATTTCGAAGAGGATGAAACATTCGTGAAGTCAGTCATCATGATCGACTACTTTGATACCATCTCAAAAATAATGGGTTTGTGGTCAATTTTCTGTATATTCCTTTGTCTCTCTTAGGAGCTCTTTATGTTACAATCTATACAACTAATATCTAAAGATTATAATTTCTGCGGCTAGTATTAACTACATTTTCCCACTTGACAATATTTATAAGTAGTAACTAATGTTGACAATATCCATGTTGGCAGATAGCAACTATTGTTGATATCAGCTGCCCTTTTTGACAAAAGCAGCACCCAGAATCAATCAGTGGATCACGCTTATCAACTGACGAACAATTTAAAGATCAAGATTAATAGCAGCAGTGGTACCAAGCTTTCAGAAATTCAGATTTTTTATTTCTAGCAAACAAGAACGGAGAAAATCACAAATTTATAGCTGCTGCAGACTGCAAAATGTTGAAGGCATGATTTCCCCTTCCCCCAGCTGAGTATTTCAATCAGGCACTAACTCATCATTTAGGTCAGTTTTTCTATGCTCTTTGATTATTTCTGATAAGTTTCAACCAAAACAATTTTGATATATGTTCGGGCAATTGAATTTCGGTGCATTGTTGACAATTGTTTCTCTTTAATATAATACATGAATATATAAAAGTGTTGTGGTTAGGACTACTAACACTAGTTTTTCTTAGAACATTTTGCACATTGAATATTTGAATGTGACTATCACATCGTCACGTTGTTCATATTAACTAACATACCATATTAATCGTTTATAATACGAGTAGACGATGTTGTTCATATTAACTAACATACCATATTAATCGTTTATAATACGAGTAGACGACATGATTGATATTTCATGATCTCTGTCGGCTATGACACTTCACCTTCTTGACTAGTTCTGCCGATGCAGGAAATAAGCATGTAAGTCTTAGTTGCTTCTCGACTAGAAATCTTTTCTCCACAATCCAATTGAAACAAAATGCACATTCATATTCAACCAAATCACTATAATCATTTTTTGCATCGTAGAATAACCCTACAATTAGTCTAATCCTTGCGAAATTTTCGAAAGCAATTAGAACTGGAAAATGAGATCTAAATTTTCTGTCTCACGAGTTTTCCTAACATCGTATAGGACGTGAATGCTAGTCTGTCTATGTTGAATTCCTCTCCATGACTCTGTCCTAATCATGTATACAAACTTGGTTGCTGTTTTTTTATCTGTATTTCGAACAGGATGACGCATTCGTCTATGCACGATGGGAAGCAGATTTTGTCTAAATTCCTATATGGGTTCATTCTTTTATACATGAGCACAGGTCTGGAATCTGCAGCATTGTCAAACAGTACTTTTGGAAATGAATCCGACAGACTGGCACTGCTAGACTTCAAGAAAAGAATCACCGAAGATCCCCAACATATCATGAGCTCATGGAATGATTCCACCCATTTCTGTGGCTGGAGAGGTGTTACATGCAACAATTCCAACAAAAGAGTCCTGACATTGAAGTTGAATTCTCAAAATTTGGTAGGCTCCTTAACCCCTTCTATTGGAAACCTCACTTATCTTACTGGGATTAACCTTACGAGCAACGGCTTCCATGGTGAAATTCCTCAAGAAATCGGTCGATTAAGAAGCTTGGAATATCTCAACCTGTCTTACAATTCCTTCGGCGGAAAAATTCCAACCAATATGTCTTCTTGTACCCAACTAAAAGTGCTCAGTATTTATTCCAACAAGCTTACCGGGTCGATTCCTGACCAACTCAGCTCGTTGTTGAACTTAAATCATCTATGGGTTGATGAGAACAATCTCACCGGAACCATCCCTTATTGGGTAGGAAACTTCTCTTATTTGAAAACTGTTTATCTTGGCAGCAACAATTTACAAGGAATCATACCTAAGGAATTTAGGCGTCTAACAAGCTTGGAGAGATTCTCACTTCAGGGGAATAATTTATCTGGTCTGGTCCCTTCTTCAATCTATAATATTTCTTCCATATACCTTTTCGATGTTACTGAGAACCAGCTGCAAGGAGAGATACCACCAAATGTCGGCAATACTCTTCCTAATCTCATAGGGTTTTTCGCTGGGGCCAACAAGTTCACAGGGCGTGTTCCTGTCTCATTTGGAAATGCTTCTAGACTTGAGAGGCTTGATGTGTTCAGAAATTCTCTCACTGGGGCACTCCACGGTGAAAATCTTGGAAGCTTACGGAGCTTAGTTTGGCTAAACTTTGAAGAAAATAGACTAGGAAGTGGAAAACCCGGTGACTTGACTTTTCTTACTTTCTTGGCTAATTGTACTCGTTTGGAGACTTTAGGACTTTATGGTAATCGTTTTGGAGGAGAACTGCCAGGATCTATAGCCAATCTGTCAACCCAACTAATTAGTCTTACTCTGGGGGGTAATATGATACATGGAGTCATCCCTGAGGGTATTGGATATCTTGTAAACTTGACAGTCCTAGTACTAGAACATAACAATTTTGGTGGTACTGTCCCTAATACAATTGGGAAGCTTCAGAAATTAGTGGAGTTGTATCTGAATAGTAACAAACTTTCTGGGCCAATTCCTTCCTCCCTGGGTAACTTGTCTGCATTGACAAACCTCTACTTGGACTGGAATATGTTCGAGGGAAGCATCCCTCCAAGTCTTGCCAACTGCCAATTTCTACTGATACTTTACCTTTCTCATAACAATCTATCTGGTTCCATACCTAAACAGCTGCTTGCGCTTTCATCCCTTTCCATGTCTTTGAACATGTCTCACAATTCTTTGACTGGTTCACTACCATCCGAAGTGGGTGATTTGGTAAATCTCGCAGAGCTAGATGTATCAGAAAACAAGTTATCAGGTGAAATCCCACAAACTCTAGGTAGTTGTATAATGTTGGTGCGCCTGCATTTAGAAGGTAACAAATTTGAGGGAATAATTCCTCAATCTCTTAAAAATTTAAGAAGCTTGGAAGAGATAGATGTTTCGGGCAATAACTTATCTGGGCAGCTTCCTGAATTTCTAGGCAAGTTTACACTACTTGAGAAACTTAATCTTTCTCATAATAATTTTGAGGGTGAATTACCTAAAGAAGGGATATTTTTTAACGCAAGTGGCGTGTCAGTTCTTGGAAATGATAGGCTCTGTGGTGGCATCCCACAATTGCATCTGCCTGCATGCTCCCACAAAAAGCCCCATTCAACTCGAGGACTACTTGCCCTGAAAGTAGTCATCCCTATAGCTTCTTCTCTTGCACTCATAATTGCTCTATCATGCTTTATTGCTGCTTGTTCAATGGTGAAAAGGTCAAGACGCAAACCTGTGACTTTACGTTCTTATGAGGACTGGAAATCAGGTCTCTCGTACTCTGAACTCTTTGAATCAACTAATGGTTTCTCTATAGACAATCTGATTGGTTCGGGAAGTTTTGGTTCTGTTTACAAAGGAGTACTATCAAGTGATGTAGCAATAGTTGCCGTTAAGGTATTGAACCTTCAACAACCAGGAGCTTCCAAGAGTTTTATTGATGAATGCAAAACTTTGAAAAGTATAAGGCACCGTAATCTCCTCAAGATCATAACTGCATGCTCAAGCATTGACAATCAAGGTAATGACTTCAAAAGTCTAGTTTTTGAGTTCATGGAAAATGGAAGTCTAGATCCGTGGATTCATCCCAAAGGTGATGAGCAATCTCAAACAAAGAGAAAATTGAGCCTTACCGAAAGACTAGATATTGCAATTGATGTTGCTTCTGCATTAGATTATCTACACTACCAATGTGAAACGCCTATTGTTCACTGTGATCTAAAGCCAAGCAATGTGCTTCTTGATGAAGACATGGTAGCCCATGTTGGTGACTTTGGATTAGCAAGGTTCCTTTTGGAAGCTTCAAATTCGAACAATCTTGCCGCAAGTCAAACAATGTCAGCAGGTCTAAAGGGTTCCATAGGCTACATTCCTCCAGGTATGAGTTTCTATCATTTTCTTTATTGAGCCAACTCTGAAACAAGAACTAAATCCAAAAGGTCATTTGACCATGGCATTCTTTTGTGTATTCATTGGCAGAGTATGGCATGGCAGGCCAAGTTTCTATACTTGGAGATACTTATAGCTACGGGATACTGCTACTAGAAATGTTCACAGGAAAAAGCCCTACTGATGATGTGTTTATAGATGGTCAAAGCATTCACCGTTTCACAGCCATGGCGTTGCCAGACCATGTCATGGACGTTGTTGACCGTTCATTGCTCCTTGAAATATATGATCCGGATGCTGATGATGAAGAATACAACAATGAAATACAAGAAGGACCAATTACAAAATATCAAGATCGGAGCTCAGCCCAAGCGAAAAGATTAGAGGAGTGCTTGGTTTCTGTGATGGAAATAGGGCTCGCATGCTCTTCAATATCGCCCGCAGAGCGGATGCCAATGAATGTTGTTGTTAACAAACTGAAGTCAATTAGAGAATCATACCTCAATCGAAGACGAACACGCTACTGATGCTCAAGCAAGTATGTTGCCTAATTTAAACATGTATCCCCATATATCAGCAAGCTAGTATTCCACCGTTCGTTATACGTCAGCTCTAATTTTCTTTCGATATGTCTTTTAATTTAAAACCAATCTGCTTCGCATTAGAAGGCATTGCTCTCGTGTGTTTTTTTGTTTCTTCTCTTGCTTTGTACATTACACGTTTATATATTCAGTTCAAGCAGACGATGTGAGCTTCTGAATTTTTATGTCTATCTTTTGTAAACATATTCGTTAGTTGGTCCCAAGCTCGATCTTCCTTCGCCACTGAATATATCGCTTGTTAACTTTCTGTAAACCTCAAAATCAGTTACAACTTTCCATTCAAAATTGCTTCTTTCGGTATTGAATTCCCGAATATTTGAGACATTTGGATTATGATGGTAGAGTCTAGCCCATACTATTTATTCAAGATTTAGAAATTTAGAGTCTGTTTGGTATTCTACTTGAATCCAACTTTTAAACTCAAAAATAATTTTCAAGTTTTATGCCTTAAAAACTTGTTTGGTAGGACTATTTTCAAAAACTGAACTCAAGACTAACTTAAAAATATAGTCTATTATCTAAAAACATAAAAAGTGAGTTTTTAGAGTTTTTAAACTTAAACTCACTCATTTCTTTTCTCTCTCTTCTCCCCTCTCACTCCAAATCTATCTCTCTTTTCTTCTTCTCTTTATTTTTTTTACACATTTTTCGTCTCTCATCCAATCTGCTCTCTTCATTCTCTCGGTTCTTTCTCTCACTTATCTTCCTCTCTATCTCGTCTGATCCTCTCTCTTCTTTCTCTTTCCTTCAATTATCCCTTCCTTTCTTTCCTCCTCTTCTTAGACCTTTTTGTCTAGTTTAAGTCATAAGATTTAAAAAATTTAAATCGCAAACCAATCAAATTTTTAAGTCTTAAAAAAAGTTGTTTTCAAGAAATGTTCTTAAGAAATGTTTTGAGAAATGATAAAAAATTTCAAATAGAATACCAAACAGGCCCTTAGTCACTCGAAGCCCCTCGAGCGTGAAACCCTGTCTAGAACTCCAAAGAAATGCGCAAATTCTTTATTACTATGCTTATTTCATTTCTTGCACGCACCCTTGTTTTCTCCTTCAATAAAGTTCTCTGTAACTTACGTCACATTCATTTCATGTTTTGATACGACCTAGTATCTACTAATGGGAACGATTATATGACAGATTGTCTAACAAAGATACTTATGCTATGTTTAATCATATTTATTCTTGCACGCACCCTCTTTGGATATGCGTTTTTTAGGCATGTAGTAGTTTTGATATATATTTTTCTAAAATTGTCAAAAATAACTCATAGAGTTACGAATTCTCACATCATTGACCTTCCACCGCCAAGTTATACTTTATTATTTGGGTGTAGTATTGAAATTTCTCATCTTTTGCACCAATGGACGTCGTACTATGTTGAATAATAAATCTCATTTGATTGATGATAGTTAATTTTTTGTGTTAGATGGATGGAGGGGTCATCGGTGTAATAGCCTATAACTTTAAAAAAATATTTTTGGTTTGTCAAAAAAAAAAATCTTAAAAGGATGTCACGTGCTATACATACGTTGGAAGTTAAATTGTAGAGAAAATAAAAAGATATTGACTGAGAGGATTGATTGAAATTTCTGAAAAAGACAAAGTGGGAACCAATCAACCCCTCACTCGACATATTTCATATTTTTCTTTTTAGGTCATATCAAAACCTTACACTTAAAAATAAAGAAAACCAAAGTTTAATTGAACCCTTTTCTTATTTCCTTTGCTGGAGGGGGTTGATTTGGGCATACCATTTTCTCCGTAACAAACACGTGCTAGCAAGCTAGTAGTGGGCTTTATCAAGATTTCATATCTAATGGGTTTTGTGTATTATAGGCCCAAAAGGCTCTTCTAGCCATCTAAAGTAGGTTTTTAAGCCAAAATTCTCCCTGAGATTTACATAATTCCTCATTTTCGTTCTTGAGATTTGAAATCAATAGAATTGGTCTCTGAGTTTGTCCATCATCAATCATATTGGTCCTTCATTGAAAAATCTTCATTAAATAAGAATGGAATGATCGAAATACTCTTAATTTTTATCAAATCATTTTGGCATTGTTTATTAAATTGAGGGTATATTTGTTATTTTGATCCTTATTTAATATAATTTTGCACGAAATAACCAAAATGATTGATGGTGAACAATCTCATGAACCACTTATATTGATTTCAAATCTCAGGGGCCAAACGTATTATGTCAATCTCATAGATCATTTTGGCTAAAAAGCCAAAGAAAATTATAGGCACTTTCTCACGAAGTTTTCTTTAGTGTACATCAAAAGTGCAAATTTATGTTGCACATGTGAGCAACTAAATTGTTTGATCTAATTAAATTTAACGACTCTTATTTATATATATAATTTAGATGCGCACTTTTCATGTGCGAGAAAATTCAACTTTCTGGCTTGATTGAGTAATTGACTGGGGAAAGTTGCCTTAACTGGAGGCAAAGAATGCAAGTGAACGTGTCTAAAATCCGATCCAAAAGTCATTCAGTACTACGGTCTGGTGGTATTTCTCTTCACTTGGAAGTGAGAGGTCTTAAGTTTGAATCTCGTGGATGGCGAACTCGATACCAAATTAGGCTACCTATTGTGTGACTTAACCGAATTCTTCATCTCCTTAGTATAAAAATATTGACGTACTAAAAAAGTAAAAAAAATTCCGACCCAAAAATCAAATAATATTTTCAGCCAACCCAACCCAACCCAAGACCAGGTCCAGCTAACTAGTATTTTCATTTTCCTCGGGTCGATGACAACCCGGTAGCCCAGGCGGAAACCAAGGCCTATGGCCCATTTACCATGAAATTTTGCAAAGTTTTTAACATTTATAAATTACCAATAAATGACCATCAGCTGGGTCACGGACTCACGTGACACAATAACTGTCCAAAGAGTAACTCCACTACAACTATTTTTAAATAAATAAATTTCCAAAATTTTATGTGATCAAGTGAAGACTTGTAGACTTCACTTGTACCCATGAGGGGTAAGCGATGAGTTTTGGGGTTTTCTTCTTTATCAAGGACATTTAAATATTGCGAGGCCGAGATATCTCAAAAATATTAAATAATAATAACTGTTTATGAGAAGATGGAGGGTACTCAAAATAGACTGAACTAGAAGGACGAGAGAGGCTCATGTTGGCCAAGTCAATAGCAACAAAATCCATCTCACAATAAGTACACGCCTAATATTATATGGTAAATTACATAAAATTACCTCAACTATTGGGTCACAATTTCATCCCCCTTCTTTAAAAAATTTCAATGTCATACCTTATCTTCGAATTTGTTGCAATGTCATATCTTCCGTCAGTTGTCTATCAATTCCTCTGTTAAATGCTGACGTGGTTTGAGGCGGGGCTCAATTTCTATTAAAAAATAATAATTTACCCTTAAAAAAAAACAAAAAAAACCAAACACCCATCTTCCCTGACCCCTTCCCTTTCCCTGCAACCCAAATGCAAAACCCATATCCCTTCCCCTTCCCTTTCCCTGCAATCCCCGACCTCTTCCCCACACCCACATCAACATTTCCCCCCCCCCAGACCCACCTCCTATTTCTCTGCCGCCCACCCCTCTCCCCAAAATGGACCGACCCAGATTCGTAATCGAAGCCTCCCATGCCGAATCAATGGCCAAGCAGTCCAACCTCACCGTCTTCCAGCTTTTCCCCTCTTTCGTCAAGTCCGCCCAGGCCCTCACTCGCCCCCCATCTCCAAATTCCACGTAGAAGCCTTCGGGTATGATTCATCAGGTCGGATCTTCCTCGGCATCAACCTCGAGTTCTCGAGTCTCCCCCTCCACTACTCGGTCCACGTCGAGCAGTTCCTCGTCACCAACCTCTCAATCCAATTGAAAGAGGTGGGTCTGGGGGGGAGACGTTGGCGTGGGTAGGGAAGGGGTCGGGGGTTGCAGGGAAGGGGAAGGGGAAGAGGAAGGGATCTGGGTTTTGGATTTGGGTTGCAGGGAAAGGGAAGGGGTCGGGGAAGATGGGTGTTTGGGTTTTTTTTTTTAAAGGGTAAATTATTATTTTTTTATTATTTTATTATTTTATTAATAGAAAGTAGGCCCCGCCTCAAGCCACGTCAACATTTAACAGAGAAATTGACAGAAAATTGTCGGAAGATATGACATTACAACAAATTCAAAGATAAGGTATGACATTTAAATTTTTAAAGAAGGGGTATGAAACTGTGACTGACTTAATAATTTGGGTAATTTTATGTAATTGACCCAATATTACCTGTGACGTTATTTTGTAATTTTCCTTTTGTCGGGTTATTATCCCATTTACTTATAAAAAAAATATTGATCGATGGTAAGTCTTGTATTTGTTAAGTAAAAGTTATCATTTATCCATGTTATTATTCTAACAAGTTACTTTTTATAGATCGAGAGACGTAATCTGAGCTTAGGATCTTTCTCAATATCATAAAAAGAAGTACCACTAAAATAAGAGCTACTTGATGTTTTAACAACCTTCAACATCGAAAGAGAGAATCGAACTTGCTATCAAAGTTAAGCAATATGGATCTAGATTTGCTACTTAGCATAGCTTAGAGGGTGTTGGATAGAGGAATTAGCTTCTCACGACTAATTACATAATACTAGCGCCAACTTGCATTTACCTATATATAAGATAGCAAGTGTAGAGTTTTATCACAAACTGTCTCGGTACAATGCACAATATAATAAAGATCTTCATCAACAGGGCGACAAGACCATTGGCACATTACGGTTTCTTTCAACTATCAAGTAATACCTCCCAATCACTGTCAAATTTTGCAACCAAGGCTTATCATGTCTTTCTATCAACCAGCAAGTAACTGAAAAATCCACAATTTTTGTCATATGAAAGTTGGATTAATGCAATGAGTCGAACGACGTACTAATCTCTCAATGGTAAAATATTCAATCCAACACTTGATAGGCATTAGACATTTTCCTTTTTTGTTACAACAATCAGACAGAGTCGACTGTGATCTACTCTACCTTTGATTCATCAGCCACAAATATTCACAAGGCTCCTCTAAAGAATGCAAACCTAATGACGTGTTTATGAAACCGGAATGGAATAGGAAGAAACTGAATTGCACTTTTTGAAGCATTCATGCGCTTACCAACATTTTAGTAACAAATAAAAAAAGGTGGGATCCACTCAAAATCAAGAATTGAATTCCTAAATCTCTTAGAATTCGATCGCCTTCAAGGAGGTGGTATCCGGATTCCAAAGAGAAGCCTCTTTTAGGAATCCAAATTTTCTACCTGAACTATCCCTGCAACTTCTACCTTTCAGTCGAGTCAGCCGACTCCCTTGAACATTCACCAGCTCAATCTCATCCATCATCGATGGGTTTCAAAGCTGAAGTTTGTGAAGCATAGGTTGTTGTTAGCAAAAATTAGATTTAGAACTTGTTTGGTGCACATCTAGCGAAGACCAGATATAAAACTCGTTCAATGTGCATCCAGCATTCCAAATTCAACCAAAATGTTTAAATTATTAGTAATGATAGATGAGTGAAAGTTACTAGTTACTGGTTCAGCTTAAACCTATTTAGGCACACCAACGTAACGTTTGCCACTTTTTTAGTGCTTACCATTTGACACTAAAACAATTTAAGGGTTGAGATTGTCCGATCTGAAAAAGCAGTCATCACGGAGTATATGATGCTCAAACAGTTAAAAAACAGTTGGTTGGGGTTGCAAAGCAAGATTCGATTCAATTCAACCCAAATTACCGATGACGTGTCCCCAAGCTACACGTGGCAACAGATCCGATCCTTTATCTCCCTACGGGGACCACACCGCTATATATACCACTAGAACTGGAGTGCTCATTAGATAAAAAGTGACAGAGACCCCCACTAGCAAACAATCCAATACTCTCTCTCTCTCTGGAAATCCAGAAAGCAACAAACTTTGAAGGCAACTCGGGAGGGTTGATTCAGTGAGTCAGTGACCGAGTCATGAGGACCCTGTCGAGTCCGAGTTCGAGGGTGGCGGCAGAGAAGAAGTGGGTCGGCGGAGAAAATGTCTTTCTCCACAAGCTTGAACCTTGCTTCCTCAGGCCAAAGAGAAGCAGCGAGAATTTCCGGTTCTTGAATTTGGTGTGTTTTCTGAAACAGAGCAAGCCCATCAGACCAGTCATTTGCCTCTCGTCAAAAACCCAGGTGGAATCTTTTTTTCGATTTTCTGAAAACTTTTCGTAATTGTTATTTCATTTCTTTGTTTTTTGAAATTTTGATGAAATTCCCATTTTTGTTTTCTCTGTTTTAAAAATTTCTAGAATATGATGTTGTTCTTGCTTTTTTGTGATCATTCTTTTCTTTGGGTTGCCAAGAAAGTTTGGAATCGTGCTTTTTTGGGTTGGGAAAGTTTGGAATCTTGCTTTTTTGGGCTGGGGCTAGATTCTTATTTTTTGTTTTTGTTTTTTGTATGTTTATTTATTATGGAGTAGATTATTAATTGGCAGCTTTATGATGCATTGATTATATAATCATTTTATTTTTTTAATTTATTTTTAATCTTGTTCTTGAAGCATTTTGTATCAGAGAATCAATCATGCAGTGTAATCGGATGTACAATATATACATATACATATATATAGGTATCTATGTATATGTATATTATAATGTATATGTGAATATATATGTGTATGTATATATATTATATATACACAAAGCAAAATGATTGTCTAAGATTTATGATCAGTCTAATAATTTGTTTTCATTCTTTGGGAATGTTGCCATTTAAAATATTTCTTTGAAGAAATTGTTTCCATATCAGAGAGTGTGAATGGTGATTAAGTAATTAGAGAATACCTTGCACTGAGATAATCAATCTGATTTCTGAGCACTCTCTTTGCAGACAGAATTGGAGGTTGCAGATTCTCAAATGCAGGAAGCATGTAAGTTCTTGCCTTTTCTTTTAAAATAATATATATATATATATATATATATGTGTGTGTGTGTGTGTGTGTGTGTGTATTTATGTATGTATATATGAGCATATTAATCTTACTGACAATGCCATGTTGTGCAGATCATACAAAAACTATCCATGTGAAATTCCAGTTGCAGAAAGAGTGCTCGTTCGGTCAGGAGTTCCTCATTGTGGGGGATGATCCTATGTTCGGTTTGTGGGATCCTGCAAGCGCAATACCGATGAACTGGTCAGATGGGAATGTGTGGACTGTTGAGATGGTGAGTGAAATCTACTAACAAGTGCAATTTTTTTGTTAGGTGAATACCGGATTTGTAGTTTAATGTAAGTCTTTGTGTTTGATTAGGATATACCAGTTGGGAAATCGATTCAGTTCAAGTTCATACTAAAAGAAAGCACAGGGAATATCTCGTGGCAGCCTGGCCCTGATCGGATTTTCCAGACCTGGGAAACTAAGAATGCGATCACTGTTTGTGAAGACTGGGCAGATGCTGAGCTTCAGAAAATAATAGAGGAAGATCATGTTTCAGATGAAGGCGATGGTTCCAATGTTAATGCAGATATGTTGATTGTGGATGAGAACCTGACACAGCCGAATGATGAACTGGCCTTCAATATAACCAATGAACCTACGATCACCAGTAGTAACACTGATCCGGCAGAGAAGCCATTAGTGGAACCATGGAAGGAACAAATTGGTGCCAGAAATGGTTCTCCTTCACAAGAGAATGTGACCCCTAAATGGCCAAATGCATACGTGGAACCATATGAGGAACAATTTGCTGCAAGAGCTGCAGTGCTTAATGAAGAGAGAGTTATTTTTCCGAGTGAGGATTGTGCAGCCATCTCAAGTAAGGAGTTGTTGGTGGCAGACAACATTTTCGGAAATAATGGTGGAGCTGCAACAGTTGAACCTTTCAAGCACTCAAATCGGGGGAAGTCTAATTAACTACGAAGAAGGTCCTGTTCTGGTACCTGGGCTGACTCCTTCACCAGCTGTTCCAACTGAAGAAGTGAACAAAGAGGGCATCGACAAACAGATGTCTTTTGATGGTTCGGTTGGAGCCTTTGAAGCTAAGGATCGTAATATGCCAGAGGTAACTGCTTGATGAGAGTGACGTATCTTTTATCTTTTTCTGTTTCTTCTTGTACTGCATTTACCTCATCCCTGAAATAACAATCCATTCCTTTTCCGTAAAACTGCAAGTTGTCCAGGGCTATAGGAGAGATTCTTTACTACTAGCTAGTTTTTGGTTTCATCTTGTATGTTGTTGGAATCTATGTTTTCCTTGAAGAGAAGTTCATGATGATGATGTATGGCAAGGCAATTATTTAATTTCATCGAAATTGAGCAATTGTCCATAAATTCTCATGAAGAAAAGTTCATGTTTTTATCTTACAATCATTAACCAACAAAGTAGACCATCTTCGCACAATATCATTGCAGTGTAATTAACGTTGTAAATATAAATCCCGGGCCAAGTATTCTCCTATTGCAAATCGAAACTGCGCTGTCTGATTCAAATTGAAACTATTAACACTCTGGAATATGACACCGAATTCTCTATCAAGCATTTCGTTTATATATTTTGTTTCTGCTGGCAATTCATGAGCATTTCCATATGGTCAACTATTCATATGTAGAGGGACCCTATTCCTAAAAACATATGAAAGAGTTCATATAATCATAATTATGATCAAAGTTAGACTGCCGATGCGTAAGGCGATGTATTGTTGCCGAACAGCAGTATTTGATATAGATGTTCTTCTCCCTTGATTATGCTATTATTGATGTTCTCCTTTCTGTTATCTTTTCATGCCCTCAAACAAATGGTTTCAGCTAGAAGTGAAGCAAGAACAGTACAGTGACCTACCTCAAGAAGTAACAAATGTAATGATCAACGCTAATGGGGGGAATTTTGACGATGAAATCAAGCAAACGCCTCACCCTGCAAATAAGGAAGAACAGTTCCACTCAGAGCCAGTCAATGATAAGGTCTTGTGCAGTGACCAACCTCAAGTGGAAACAGCTGCCGCAATCAATGATAACGAAGAGAATTCTGCTAAAAAGGAGGAACAGTCCGACTCAGAGCCAATCAACGAGGTCTTTCAGAATGATGTGCAATGGGGTCGTAAGATGCTGCAGAACCTTCTGTCTAACTTCAGATTGCTATAGCATGCACATTGCCGATAACCTGGGAAGAAATTTAGGGAATTCATTTGAGCCCGTAACTCTCCTGCTTTGTTGCTGATGTTTTCTGGTAGCCTACAAAGAGTAGAGAGAGGCAATCTTATAAGCAAACTGTTATATGTGCATATGATATGAACATAGTTGCTGAGAGAGTATTGCCACTTTCCTGTGCTGTAAGAGTACTCAGGTTTTTGTTTCTTTTAGTTTGTCATGTAAATATTTGTACCGGATACAAAGTTCTGTAAAGCTTCCTCACAATGCTGATTTTGGTAAGGATTTGGTACCTTCTTAGATTCGAATATCATGAATGGCAGATTCAATACCACATTAAGTTGTCCATTGTGTGATTTAACCGAACTTTCCCCTCCATTAGTGTAAAAATATCGACGTACTCCAAAAAAAAAAAAAAAAAAAAACCTCTTTTTCCAACCATCAATATTCCTAAACTGTTAGTGAATCAATTTAAATAATTTCCAAAAATTTAAAATTAGAACTGAAAATAAAAAAACCACCCCAACCAACTACTCACTCAACTCCAACACCACCCAACACCTTCTGCTTATGACGGCCTTGACGTATCATTTTTCCCGTGTGGACTTTCTACGTAGGATTGTAAAGGGTGAGTTTTCTGAAATGGATGGCTGAGCTCTTTTCTTTTCTTCTTATTTTTTATTTTAATTTTTCAGTTGACAACTTCTTCCAATTTGAAGAAAGCCATGTGTTCTCTTTGCGTTTTTAATTTTTCTTTTTCTTTTTCTTTTTCACCATATCCTAACATATTTTTGGGGCAAATGACTCCCACTTTTCTTTTCTTTTTCTTCACCCCTCGTTCATTTCTAACACCTGGATTGGATAAATCAACAGAAAATCGAATAATAGAAGTGAAACATATGGGGTGTGCGAAAATCATTTCCAGACTCAAAAATAAGGTCGATATTTAATTTACTTCTCCAGCGATCAGGGACAGAGCTAGAGCTTCTTACATACTCGGAATCTGTTTGTATCTATACAGCCCGATTACAAAGATAAAAAGATTTTAAAAGGAAGCAAACACAATGCCATTATTTATCGACTTTGACGGGATAACAAATTTGTTACACGTCTAGGGAACAAGATGGGTCTCAAATTTCAGTTTCCATGCTCAAAATCTTATGATCAACCACATTTACGTAAAATATTTGGAGGAAGAAAATGTGTGTTGTATTCGAATATGGCAATCCCCAACCTCAAGATTCACGACGATGTATGCAAGCAAGAAAAGATGGAGCAAGATGAAAAGAAATATAGCCCACCTTTCCACCAACAAAACTTACACATACGCCTCAAGAAATATAGCCCTGGCAATATTGAAACCAGCATTCCGAAAGGGGAAAAGATATTCTGAATGTACAAGATGCCAGAGTCGTGCGCCTCAAAACGCCAATCTTTTCAATTTTACTTGTTCCCTTGTTTTCCAAATCTTCAAGCTAGTGCTAAAATTGGGAGGCTGGGAAGAGATGGAGGCACTGAACCTCTTCGAGACCTCCGTTTCGTTTGTGAGGAGAGGAAGAATGTGCTAGCAGGAGCCTTGATTGAAACGACTTCGGTCTCAAAGTTTGTCTGTAACCCCATTCTTCTGTTGCCGTGAAAATGATAAACTTCGTGAACCATGCAGTATTTCTTCCTTGGATCGTTTTGCAACAGACTCTATCAATCTGCAAAAGGACGGTGGTAATGAAAAATTTTGGGGTACAAGGATTTGTGAAATAAGAGCAATGAACTCATAGATCGTTTTATTATTCAACAAAGTTCCATGAGAATATCGGGGCCTTTTATTCTAGATCCCAGGCAGTGTCTGACCATCATCTTGTCCTATTCATCAATCTTACAGATACACAATTTGCGTATAGGCTAGAAGTTTGCTTTGTTTGCCTTCTAGCTTACAGCAGCGGCAAGCGGGGAAAAAAAACAACCTCATTGAATGCTTCATAATGGACCATGAAGACATCCAATAAACAAGCAGAAAGAAGCAGCCAAAAATCAACATTAACCATAACTTGGCCGTACTCTGTCCAGCCAAGAACCCTTGAGGATTCCAGAATTAGCCCAGAAAATAACAAAGGAACTCAGTTTCGGACATGTCTCGACTCAAACAGGGTGAAAAGAAGCGTAATGTTACCTTGGGGAACTGGCACGCTTTAGAACTTGCTGACTCACCGTAAAAGTACTCCCCGGTTCAACTTCAACAGCCTGTATATTTCGCATTGAAAACACAGGAATTTAATCAGGAAATTCAACATAGTCAAAAAGTTTACACGCTAGATTGAGGTCTCCTGTTTTCTATTCCTCCAGAAAAGGAAGAAACTTTGGGTTCAGAAGCTTCCCTTTCACAGGAGGAAAAAGGAGATGGTTTCCACAATGCACAAGTTAGATCCGGCACAAACATTGGGAAGAAAAATGAATCTGTGAGAAGTTTAAAACGAGTCTATGTGAAGTTTAACATTCAACTAGAAGTGATAATGGTGATGAGGATGTCTAAAAACCTATCGATTGAGGTACGGAATAATTGTTCATTCAAACCAAAAAGAGAAAAGAACATAGCTAAATCACGCACATTGGAATACTTGGATAACGGGTAGAAATGAGGGACTGACAACCAAGCCCATACCTTTCAAAACAGGAATTGATGGAGCCAATAAGGCAGCAGTAGCAGACATTGAAGCCAGCTCAATCCGCTTTCAGTGTTTTAGCCATCACATCTTTGTCAGATGCAAAATTCAAAATGGGAGTGGTTCTCCTTTCAGTGTCTTGCCCACATACCCTTTATCCAAGCATCACCTATGTTTTTAAACATTGAAAATCAAATCAACTAATGAAAGCATCATCAATTATCCCCACCTCAGAAGTGCTTTCTGTAGGCAATCCATCCCTTAGTAGCTCAGCTGATCCTGGACCAACCATGTCCAATAGAAATCCGTTTTCGTTTCCTTTATCTAAATCTCTGTCCACGACACCAGTATGAGGTGCAAGATATGCAGCATATTTATCTGCCATCCCACACACGAAATATATTCAGCACATGCGAACAAATACATCTCAAAATATTGCAAGGAAAAAAGAAACTTGTGGTTTTAAGAATAACATTACCAGCCAAGCTGTGAAGGGCATTCTCAGCAGCCTGTTGTTGAGCATCCTTCCTCGTCCTACCCGTTCCAAAACCTATCTTCTCTCCAGTGAAAAGAACCTTTAAAACAAAGTTAACAATTAGCACATTAGAGTCCAAAACTGATAAAAGATCGCTCCTCAAATCAAAATTAAAACATAAATACAAAATGTATAAACAAACAAATTGAGAAGGAAGCAAAGTCTTGAATTTTTCTCCAAGTTTTCTCTTTTCGTTCTACCAAACTAAAAAACATTTTTTTTATGACTCCGTATTATTGATTTGACATTTTTTTTCTGACTCTGTATTATTGATTTGTTCTGCTTAAGAAAGAAATATGACAAATCAGGGTCAGCTTATGTTAGGAAACACCACACCCTAAGACAACATTTTAGTTTTACAATATCTATTGTTTATATAACTAAATCATTTCACAACAACTTCATGCATTTAACGCATGTAAATAATAAGTACAACAGCCGTGATGTAAATAAGTGGTAAAAACTACCAAAGTACAAAGGGAAAAAAAGTATAGAAGGAAAGTTCACTGACCTCAACAGAAAACTGCAAATCGTTGCTGGTGCTTAAAACAGACCTGAACTCAATCTGAGCAACGGGCAACATCATGATAAACTCCGTTAGGAAAAATAAGAAGAGAGAAGAGAGAGATAGGACGGAATGGGGCACTGCGTTGGGGAGATAAAACTAAAGCTATTTGTACCTTTGAACTGCACCTCCGTCCAATTTCCTGCAGCACTCCAATAGATAAAGGGGATGGCAGCAGGGTCACTTTACCAGATTCTATTTGAGATTCTCTATTCAAAGAAGATGCTTGATTCTGGGATACACCAGCCTCTGCACGAAAAAACTAGGTTATAAAACGATAGGTATCACTCATAAAAAGAACCATATACTATTAATCCTAAAGGAAGATTATAACTTAAAACCAAACAAAGGCGAATGATAATCCTATTCCCATCCTCCAAGTTGTGAGGTTGGATAACAGGCTAAAATTAAAACGAAAGGAGAGAAAGATAAAGATGAGAGGAAGGCTCATTAGGCACAAAGCATAAAATTTTCAGTCTCAAAACCGACACAACAATAATCTATACTAAAATGGAAGGACAGTAGCCTCGGACTCTCGATTTCTTCTTAATATCTCAAAAACATTCCTCATATAAACTTCAAAATTAAAAAGTATAATGATGATTAGGCAGCAAGCATTTCAGAAAAGAAAACCTTTCAAACCGCTTGAGAGAACAAGGACACATCAAAAGGAAACTTAACAATCTATATCTAAGATTTTCCAAGGTCCAAGGAACATCAACGTCTCGCATCTATGTTTAAAATTTGTAAATATATGGATTAATGCATTGACCACTCAAATCCAACACATCATTCAATGGATCTTACAAATCCATATGATGCTTTCCATTTGTTTGACAATCTCTTCTCAGGTTACTTAACTTGTGCATGAAAAAGAGGACATAAGAAGACTCATTTGCACAGAGTGTACCATGATACTTTGACTGCAAGCTATAGTGTTATTCTATAATATCATCAAGGTGACATGACCCAAAATACAATACAAAGCTCAGCAACCTACTATTCAAAAGATGATGGCTAGGAAGTGAAAGATACATTCTAATGAAATCATCCAATTCATTCCAGTTCGACATGTAGGTTTCTATACCAGGCGATAAAGTAAATTACCTGAAGGCTGACTTGGAAAAGGAAGATTCTGTTTTTGCAAATCACGCCCAGAAGATACCTGCAAATAGAGAAAATTTTAATCACTGAGACATTTCTGGAATTCTTATAGTAACACCTTAATTCAAATTGTCAAAACAAGTGACTCCGAAAGAAATTTAACAAATTCTGGACATACCTCTTCCCTCTTCAAATCGGATTTGTGTGAGAGCAAACCAGTGGGTGTAGAACCTGGTGTGGCAGGACCGAAAGGATTCTGGTAAACTGACTTTTCAGGTTTTGAAACACCAGGCTGTTGAACAAGCTCAGAAGTGTGATTACTCGAATGTCCTCTGTTGTTGTCATCATCAACCAACCATCCTCCTTGTGCATTTATTGAGGATGCTGGCAGTTGTCCAGGCACTTTAGATAAAAGAGGGGGCTCAGCAGAGCTTTGACTCCTTATATCTAGACCAGGATTTGTACCAAGGAGTCCTCTCCTCATCTCATGGTCACGATCAGAAAAGCTATCACGTCTAACAGGAAGTCCAAGCAGACCAGGTTTCTGAGAAGGTATGACCGGCCTCAAAGATGTCGTACCAGCAGCATTGGGAAGAATTGCAGCCAGTGCTTGAGAGTTGTCAGATCTTGACTCAGCATGATTTTTCACAGAATGAACCACCGACTCCACACCACCCTTATCATCAGATAGGTTTAATCTTCGTTCCACTTCGACACCATTCATTCCTTCACTAATGGGAGCATTAGCATTTCCATTTGGTGCAAAACCAGCATCCTCGGACATCAAGTAATTGCTCACATCAGGAGCAGGAGGCAAATTTACCACCTCATCTTCATAAAAAACTCCAGAAATTCTTCGCAACAAAATTTCATCAAACTCTTTGAAAAAACAACCTCTGACATTGCATGCAACATTTCTTGCTACACAGAGGACTGGAACTGCACTAGCTGTCTCTGCTTGAGGAGCATAATATGGGCTGAAAGCTGGAACAACATGGACTCGAGGTTGATCCTTATCTTCCCAGACATTGGAACGGTCATCAATAACCATTGCCATCTTTGGATGGCACACTCCTTGTTGGAAGACATTCAGTAAAGATTTCTTGGAGCCTGATTTAACACAAACAACACGGTCCAGAAGTTGCTTTGAGCCTATTAAGTGTGACCCTGGGTCAAGAAGCCTCCACATTTCTAAGGCATAATCTCTTTCAGCCATAGTACAGACGTAAACTTCAAACCTCTTGCGTCCTTTTGCAGTTAAATAACTTCTCAAATCTTCCCATGCAGGTCGTAACCGCACAAGCACACTGGTATCACGAATCTGCATTAAACAACAATATTGTATTGTAGTCTTTTGCACACTTGCATGAGAATATGTAGCTATATTTGCAGCTACTATGACGAGATTGACTTATCAGTTATCACTCATTCTACTTTTTTGTAAGATGACAGTTGTTTTACTAAATAACTTCTAAAAGCTCCCTGACTAATCAAACTGCCACATGAATTTTGGATAACTCAAGGGAACATATCGCACAGATGGGTGAATGTATCAATGGATCTAAAAGTTAACAAACATATGTTGATCAAAAAAGCACTGCAATGTTTGGAAAACCTACCGAGGTTTAGCCAAATGAAAAAAAAAATCTAAATTTCTGCAAACAACATTAGGCTACACTCCTAGCATGCAGCTAAATTATCTCTGCCTAAAGAACACACTACGTAGTTTTCATAAATTTTACATTAGGATGGTGTTGTTCTCAAGTCCTAGTAATGAATGATATTACAACATATTGTCTCAATGCACTCATTCATTATCTTCAATAACAGCATTTAGGGTATTGAATTCCTATAAAACAAAAGGGAAACAAACAAATAAAACATACAGAAAAAAAAAAAACATGACTAGAGGATCACCTCGGGATTGATGCGAGTGAGCACAATGTTCTTCTCTGGCAATCTAATGATAGGCCGAATCATTTTTTCATGGTTATCAGACAGTGGAGGAACCTCCTCCAGTTGAACTTTATACAACTTTCCATTATCCATCACACAATCGTTATCTATATATTGCTTCAACAGCCACCTCTCGTCCATGTACCGCTTCATTTCAGCAGACATTCCAGCTATTCGCACCCCATCACTCTCCCGTCCAATCCAACTTCGTAAAGCCTCGATCCTATCCTCAAAAGACTTCATGGTGTTGGCAACAATCAACGTCTCATCGAGATCAAACACAATTGAGAGAACCCTCAGATTCAGCATTCCTAGAGAAGCACTGTACAGACCAACAGGAACCGCATAGCACCAAAAGCACGGAAATTTCTTCTGCTTACTCGGCATGGCTACCAAGTGAATCTCCTCATCCCCTACCAACACAATCGCCGTCTGCTTAAGACAATGAATCACCTTATTAGTACACTCCGCCTAATTAACTCGAAAAAAAAAACAAAAAAAAACAAAATCTGGATCACATTCTTGATTTAACCACGATACTAACTGAGCTAACTTTACTAGGTCAGTTAACTAACCGTTATCCAATCAAATTACCTCCAAAAACTTCAGATTAAAATTTATGTGCTGCCGGTACATTTTCTTGGGAGCCAAACAGAAAGCTCAATCTAAACAATCTATATAAACAAATGCAAACATCGAAAAATGGAAGCAATTGAGTGGGAACCTTGAACTCGTAGAAGCAAGAGGCGTGGAGATTGATCAAATGCGGCTGTTCGACAGGGGAGGCCGATTCGAGTTTGCAGCGAACAGAAAACGAGGAAATCGTCTGGAGAATTGAGAGCGGAGGACACCTCTCGCTTTGCTGCGAAATCCGGTGGATTCGAATCTCATTGTTCGGGAACCGGAAATTCCCGTCCGTCACCGGAATAGCGTCCAGCTCTCCCAAACGCAGCTCGCCATGGTAGACTACGGACTTGAACCCTAAACGGCTCATTAATTTAGATCAAATTTGAGAGGGAAAGCGCGAAGAATTTGAGGTCAAATCGTAAATGTTGAAAAGATCAGGGGGGTTTCTGTGAAAAATTGGGAAGTAATTCTCCAGTTTTGCTATCCGCTCCTCCTTTCTCTCTCACTCCTCTCAGACCTCTTCGCTCTCTCTCTCTCTCTCTCTCTCTCTCTCTCTCTCTGCCTTCGGTTTCAAACAATGAGACTCGCCGGGTATTTATATGCCCAAGGGGGCAGTTATGTGTCCGAAATTACCATTATATCCATTCAGCCCGGAAGTCCGTTGATTTCGGATGGCCGCCTCTGGACCGTTTGATCAAAGGTAGGATTTTGGACTTTTGCGCACCTTTAGTTTGTTTTTTTTTTCTTTAATAAGGAGAGACAATTGACACAATTATCTATCATTTTTTAGAGCCGGAAGACTCACAAATGTATTTCAGCATTTTCTTAACCAGAGTCAAGTAGACTCACTAGTTTGGGTCTTGAACCCGAAATCTCCTTGTCCTTTTATATTTTAAGAGCCGAAATTCGCGCCCTTACAATTAGATCACTGTTGTGGTTTGCGAATCTTTTAGTTCAAGATGCATAAAGTTATAAGGTATTATATTTTAATTATTTTTGGGTTTAATTCTTTTTTATATTTTATTTTTAATCCATGGGAATAATTTAATCTTTATCAGCTAATCAACGGAAACCAGGCTGAATTTTGTTGTTAATTAACCGTGGTTTAAAAATTTAATCTTAGTAATGTTGGACTATTTGTAATTTTATATGAGGTCCATTGGGCTTTATTTAAATGGGCCACTAAAAATTGCTTGCAGTAACTTGGCCCTCAAAATCCAATTAGAAAACCCAAATAGCATCTGACAACTCAATTTATTGAATGGAAAAAACCAAAAAACCAATTATGCAACAGAATGTTCAAAAGCTTTTATTTCATAAATAAGAAGTTGTTAGCTTAGTTGGGCTAGTTTGGTATTGTTGTATTTTTTGAAAAAAAAAAACTGTTTCTGTTGTACGATGAGAATAAACAGTTGTAAAATAAAGTTGTTGAGTGCTTGGTAAACTTTTTTTTTGTAAAAGTGCTTTTAACCAAAAAAAATGTCCAAGTGTTTGATAAACTTTTATATAAATTATTGTGAATATGTAAAATGACTAAAAATAATATGGAATTTAATGTGATATTAATAATTGTGACAAAGAATAATGCAGGGGCAATCACTGTAATTTTGTAATATATGTGGAGATATATTTGTCATTTGATAATTCCATTAAATGAGCACTGATTACTATGCTTTGAAAAAAAAAAACACTTTTTTTCAGAAGCATGATAAAACCTGCCCTGATTTTTTATGATTTTCTACTGTCACTTACAACAATTTTTTAAAAAGTACTCTTTTTTTTTATTTTACCAAACACATTTTATGTTCCAAATCTGTTAATAAGCTTCTTTTTTAAAAAGCACCACAATCCAAAACCAACCCTTAACTAAAAACACCTCTTATATTTGAGGTTCTAAGTTCGATTTCTCCTCCTTGCTATTATTTGTATTAATTTTTTTTGAGTTTTTATAAATAAAAAAATAGTTCAACCTCTTCAAGCTAGCCCCTGCAATTGAAAATCGTTCAATATATTCCTTGAAAATGGGTGTCTCAAATTAGAGTGGTTCTTCTGTCACAATTCTGTCAAAGATTTTATTATGTGTTGATGTGGCACATAATCAGATTTCATAAGTCTAATTAAATATTACTATGTGAAATTAAAATATTTAAATAAAAAAGATGTATAATTAGGCAACGCACGACACCACACTGATAAGACAAACATGGTTTAGCATAAACCTAAATCTCGAACGAAGGATGTGAGGGTCGAATCACGCATGCGGATTTCGCCCACTTAATTCACTTAATGGCGAACACTAATCAATCTAGAGAAATGTTGAACAAAGAAAAAATGTTCGTGAGAACTGTTGCCACATAAGCCAAAAATGATGTACTTTGTCTTAAGTTACCCGACTGTAAATTGGCTCGAAACAGTTTGAACTTGTACCGATTTCTACTTGTGTTTGGCTCATCGAAGCTCGACTCATGAAAGAACCAAGCCAAGCATAGTTCAGCTTGATTAAAAAATAAGTCAGACTTGAGCGTTAGTATGTTTGCCTTGTAAAACTTGTGAACAACTCGAAATTTTTCATGAGACAGGTCAAGGTAAGCTTGAGCTTGGCTTGGTCATTCAAGCTCGACAACTCTTGAGAAGTACGTATCTAGAGTCCCAAGTCTAACTCAATTAACAAAGGGGTGTGATTTCCGTACACCCCATTTTACTTCTCACATATTTTTTAATTTCAACCGTCGGATCAGATGAATTGAAGAAGATTAACGAACAAAAATTATCAAGGGGTGTGTGAGAAGTAAAATGGAATGTGTGGATAGCACACTCCTTAACAAAACAAAGAATAGCCATTTAATATTACGATCTGGCTACGGTCTAATGATATTCTTCTTCACTTGAAATGAGAAATCTTAGGTTCAAATTTATAGAATTGTGAGTTCAAAACTAATTTATTCCACCCGCTTACCGTAAATATATTGTTGTAATAAGAAAACCTAGAAATGATACTTTGATGGGGGTTCTTCCTCGTGGAACCAAGTACAAATAGGACTTCATGGTTGTCGCTCAAAGAAGCCCAAACCATACAAGAAGATAAGTAAAAATCAGCAACCGCTTGCATACTATAAGCTTTGTTACTCATTTTATACTAACAAATAAAAGGAAAAATGTGAAGCAGCCAGAGGCGGATCCACATAGGGACCAGGGAGGTTCCAGGACCTCTCGACGATCCTAAAATGCTGCTATAATTTTTTCGGGGGACCCCTCGACGAGAACACAAGGTCTATGCTGCAGGTTGCAATAGAGAAGAAGACAGCGGGGTTGCGGGGGAGAAGAAAGAAAACAGGGTTTTTTAAAAAGTTGGTCCAAAACGTAGTGTTTTGGCCTTTTTTTTGTTGTTGTTAAAAGCTAATGAGACAAATGGTGCCGTTTGTCAATTGTCCATGATTCCATACGTCTAGCCCCACATGGGCCATCTTTCCAGAGAGTCCCTTTCCTTTTCCCGTTCCGTTCCTCTGCTTTTCCCCCCTAATCCCCATCTTTCTTATATTCACCCAAAACCCTAAATTTCTAATCCCACCCAATCCCGTATTATAATTATTAATTACATTACTTCAATATCATACCTCCACTTGTTTCAATTCTCCAAGCCACCACTATTTGGTTCAAAATTCAATTAAGTTTTTTGGTATTCTAATCTAATCTCAATTAAATTATATTAGATATTGGTGGAGATTTTTAGTCTATTATTGATATGATTGTTGATATGTTTTATGTTTGTATACTCATTTTATAATTGAAATTTAGATGGAATTTTTGTTTATTGGTTGATTGGTATTTGTTTTGTGTTTTTGGTTAAATGTGTAGTTTAGAAATAAGAAATATGGAACGATTTTTCAAGCCAAAGCCAATAGCACCATTGACTTGTTCGGATAGTTCGAGCAGACAAAATGAGTGTGACATTGATTTTAATAATCTTGAGAGAGACCGGGAAAAAGAATTTGAATGAAGGACTATCCTTCTAATATTCAAGATGAGATCCGAAAAGCATATTTGCAAATGGGACCTTGTAGGCCTACAAAGTATGACTTCCCATACACTTTGAATGAAATGTATTATATTTAACTTTTCAATGTTATTTTTATTTATAAATTTTTTTGACCTCTATTATTGGGACCCCCCGAGTTTAAAATCCTGGATCCGCCACTGCAAGCAGCCGGGAACTTTAGCAACGTTCCAGCAAACAGTTGAACGATACCGTGCAAATGATCATCTCGGAAGTATTTGTGTTTCAGGATCGTCAAAGATCAACGAGCTGGTGGAAGTTATATCAGGGTTTGCTGTTGATTTCTTGCGTGACTGAGATGATGACGATGTCTCCTCCAATGAACTGGTACCGCCAAATTTTCCAGGTGCATGCATCCTCGGCCTTGGTTTTGTTAGTGCCTTCTCATGTTTCAATCGGAAGAGGACGTTTATTAACGATTGAAATGCATAACATCATCATTCAGCACCTGGGAAATCATAAGTACCTTCTCGTTTAGGTGGACCTCTTTGGAAAGCATTTCCACAACTTGCGTCATTGTTGGTCTCTGTTGCGCAGTGGCTTGAGTACAAAACAGCGCAACCTTGATGAAGCGCATAACCTCGGCCTCTGGATATGCAGTCAATTCTGGATCAACAAGTTCCAGGAGCCTTTCTTCTTCTCTTAGTTTCCATACCTGAAAAAGCATTTATACGATTGTCAAGGTACTCGGAATATACCTCTTGTAAGTATGTTTTACATTAAGATGAATGCACGCAGAACATCCTGTTAACGACCATTGCATCAAAACATGAAAAGGGTTTCTATGATTCATTGCCTAAGAATTTTGTACTTTGTCTGAGCACAATGTAAAAATTTATACATAACAGAAGCATACCCATTCGACGAGAACCAGCAGTTGCTCCCCAAAGGCTACCTTACTACTACTTCTGCCACTAATTATCTCAAGCAAGAGCACCCCAAAGCTGTACACATCTGCTTTCTTCGTAAGTTGTCCCAAAAGCGCATATTCTGGGGCGAGATATCCCCTGCAGAAGCAGAACATTATTGTTGTTAGTGCACAAAACATTAGTAGGAACATCTATATTATATCAGTTGCTAATGGCTATTGGTTCCTACTCTCCTACGCAGTATGCACTACAAGATTATTGACTAAATTTCTGGCAGATTAAGAGCAACTATGTACTTCGTAAACCCTGATACTGAATTGAACTTGAAGTTAGTACTCGATCATATTGGTTATTCATTTTAAGGAGGAAACCTCCAACACACCACATTCAAAAACTAATTTCTGAACTACATAGCTGGGTTGCAGTTAAATTAAATGTTATAAGAAATTCTTACTCCGTTCCAGCTACTCTAGTACTAAGATGAGTGACATTATCAGGAAAAAGTTTTGCCAGCCCAAAATCTCCAATTTTAGGACGAAAATTTGCATCAAGAAGTATATTGCTAGCCTTGATATCTCTGTGGACAATTTGCTGTTCAGCTTCCTCGTGAAGGAATGCAAGACCGGTAGCTGTACCAAGGCAAATCGAAACTCTCGTTGGCCAATCTAGAAAAACATATTTACTTCTCGAACCTGGAAAGATAGTTGTTGCATATTAGCATATACAGAATGTTTGACAGATTAGAATAAAAGGGAAAAACGATGAGATAAACGGCTCAACTAAGCGGGTTAAAAATCATGTCAATCCCCCCGCGGGTGGGTGAAAAATTAACTTTAGAAAATGAAATCTGAGGTAAAACATAGAACTTAAATATTCCAATAATTACCAAGCAAAGATCTAGAAAGACTGTTGTTCTCCAGATATTCATATACCAATATCCGATGGTTGTCCTCCACACAGCAACCAAGGAGCTCAACAAGGTTTGGATGTCGTATACGCGATATCACATTAATCTCTGTCAAAAATTCATTTGCTCCTTGTCTAGATTCTGCGGAAAGACATTTGATCGCAACTTGGGCATCATCTCTTAGAACTCCCTGATGTGATAAATGATATTAAAGTATCAGAAATAAAGAAACCGTATAGTAGTCAATCTTGAACCTTTAGACCTAGGATTAACAAACTTTCATTTTTAAGTGCTTCAATGCTGGCCATCATGAAGAAATTTAGACCTACTACACAAATAAAAGCTTCATTGACCTCACCCTATAGACAACTCCATAACCTCCTCCACCTATCCTGCTCGATGGATGAAAGTTCCTAGTAGCTGATCTCAGAGAATTATACGAGAAAAGCCTTACGTTGTTGTTGATAATCCCTAATTTCCATACATACAGACATAAAAACCCTTGTGAGATCAATTTATCCAGTTCAGAAATAATATAAGAAAACTTCTAATAGCATGTATGTATCCGACAGCATAATCTAAGCCTAAAATGGCAAACACATTTTTCGGTCTTTCTTTTCCGCTTCATATGTGTGATTTCTAAATTCATTAGTTGAACAGATGGTCAAAGAGGTGGAAGTAGAAATAAATAAATAACAGGGTCTTGGAGAAATTAAAGACATAAGACATATACGAATCTGCATAATTTTACTCTTCTAGCTTGCTATGAAAATTCAATTTATCAGGGAAAGAAAATGGAAATTGGACACAACCATTTACCATGGTGGTGATATACAAACACGACACTACCATTCGTCATGGTGATGAAATGCAGACACAACACAACCAATTAATTTACGCTACAGCAGCAATAGGAATCATTGTACTCGGGGAGCTTGCGTTCTGCTAGATTTGAGAACTCTCATTTCTTACATACAACACAATAGATGTTTCACAAGCTCAGAACCTGAGCTACATTGCGGCCGTTGCCCACAAAAATTTTAACCCTTGTACACCCACTGAAAAGGTACAAAGGTGCAAACTAAAGCTCTAACAGAACCCTTTTGCATCCACTCGAAAAAAACCTGGACTTTGGTTCTGAAATTCAATAATCGAAACGATAATTATGCTACAAGCAACTTACAGAAGGGAAACACACACAAATGGAAAGTATTGACTATTTTACTGCTTTTACCATATAAAGAGTTCATTTGCTAATTAATTACTAACAAATCCTTACCTTGCTCCTGGAAGGAAGACGAGGAAGCTCTTTCTTCTTTACGCCATTTCAGCACAGAGAAGCAACCACAAACCATTGCAGCACACAATTTAGTTGCCCTAAAACCCTAACACCATATCTCCATAAACCCTAATCTGAAAATCACAGAATCAAGCTCCAAAATCCAGCACAACCCACTAAGCAAAAACACAACGAACCAAAATTAAAGTCAAGAACTTTTTGTTCTACAAAATGAAAATTGAAAAAGCAAAAGCTGGGAACTTTGAAATAAAGCAGATCACTGCGGAATCTGGAACCCTAACCAGAATTGGGAACCTCTGGAATTCTTCTTCTGCAACAGGAAAAAGCCAGAAAAGCGCCTTTGCTTTTCTGGGCCAGTTGGGTTTTTAAGCAAAAACAAAAACCCAAATGGCATAGAAACAGGGAAGGCAGATGAAAGGTGGGAAATTAATAGTGGAGGATTAAATTGAAAACCCATGTTACCCATGAACAAAGGTATTAGAAATAAGAAGTGGGAAACCTGATAAATTTTGAAGGGTCAAAAGTCTGCTATTTACAGAAACCAGTGAACGGCTTCTGATGGTGACATTGTTTTTCTTTGGTTTAATTTCTTACCCAAGTTGCAAGAGAAGGGAAAGATTAATCAAAATTAAGGTTGGGGTTTTGGGAGTGATCCAAGTAAGTCAAAGTTGAAGATTTGGGCGTTTATCCTCCGTAATTCTTTAGGCCTTTTCTGGTGCTGGTAGGTAATCGGTCACACACGAACTGCTGTAGTTTCAAACTCACCTACACCAAGTTTTGTATAAAAGAAATTTTTTTAGTTGTTTCTTTCTTTATACGCGGAAACCATTTTCCTCTCTTGACCCCCCACAATAGTTTTTTTAGAAAAATTAATGAAAATTATTTGAAAATTTTGAGTTTTAACGATAATGACAGAATAAAGGATAAAATGAATAGTATCAGAATTGACATTTTAGTGTAAAAATATGATTTTTCTTTAAAACGAACAGTACCGAAAGTTCTGTTGTTAAAATTTCCTAGTTTTTTTAGTGTACCCAACGACCATCACGTAATATTAATTTTCAACGCATGACAAATGTTTCGAGTACACATAATTTCTCATATCCCACGTCAATAAGCAACCTAAAATTAGCATACACCAGATAGGACAGTTGGCAAAACTGAAGTTACAAAAAAAAAGGGTCATTTTGGAGTTGATTGAGAATCGAACTTAAGTTAACAAGTGGACGTTGTCAACCCACCTCTTTATTCTTAATCTGTTTATATTAAAAGTACACACGCAAAATTAACATTTCTTAATTTATATTAAAAGTAGACGCAAAATTGACATTCTCTAATGTAAATATGATTTCATAGTATGAGTTTTCTTTTCTTTGCTGGACTATGATTGAACACACAACACATCCATTTTCTTTGTTTGTAAAAGTTTAGGAGGAGATTGGTTACTCTCACCATTAACGTCAGGATATACCCACAATCTCGAGCAAGAATAATTTATGTGTGGCACCTAACTATCGGTTGTCACCTGTATGGATTTATATAAGAATTTACAGATCGCACACCAATAAAAACTACTATCAGTGAAACTCGAACTTTGATACGATCGATGACACACAAAACAAGAACCTTACCAATCATTTGTTACTATTAGACAAATTTCTCCTTTGATTTTCTTCTTATTCTTTGCCATAACGCCCGTTCGGGACAAGTTGGAAGAGGAATTCCCAATTCTTACATGGATGAGACCGTTGAGCCAACCCTCGTTAGAATTGAATTAGTCAAATCGAACCAACCACAGTCCACACCTTTCATTTCCCCTATGCATCACACTTTTGACAAAACCCAAAGGTTTTTTTATTTTTTCCTTCTTTTTTTTTGTCGTCGTCAAACGATAGATTTTTAACTCGGTTAACAACATCAAGTGTTATAATAACAATCATCAAAATTCGATTTAACCGTTGCACGAGCCGTAGGGCCGGTTACTACGATCAGGATTTTACTTCTTTTCTTTTCAATGTACACCAACTTTTAGTCGGTTATGATTAATAAATTACACAACGCATACATCTTTAATTTAAAGACTAATTACCTGACCAGTCCTTGGAAAGGGATTAGTTGAACTAACACATTTCGCACATCTGTTGTATAAGAAGGCCCACATCTCAAAGTCTTTAACGATGGAGATTAACTGCTTAAAAACCATAACTTTTTAACGTGTATCCTATGAAAGTAATTATGTTTTTGAGTCCCCACATTACATGTTCTAGATACATGATGCACGGGTGAGCAATTCTTTTTTATTAATTCAAGCATTTTTCTAAGAAGACTCCTTCAAAGTAAGACTCTCAATGAATTATCTGTCATTTCACAATTTAATATCAATTCCTATACCAATATTATAAAAATATTGTGCTTTGACAGAAAACGTACAAAAAATCTCACGTCTGAAAGAATTTCATTTGCATTTCTCCTTTTCAAAATATCTGTAAATAGGTTGGGTATTCTTTCCAGGACTAGTGGAGTCTGCACTTCTGAAGCAAAAAGAAAAGATTGAAGTTTGAACGTTTTCTTCCTTTTTGCTAATTCTTACTTTATTACTGAGTGGGTTCGGTGAGGAAGCACTAGTGGAAGAACACGCAGAAAATGTTGTATATAATATATATGCAAAGGGATCTCCATTTGTTTTAAAAAATGGGGATTAAGTGTGTGTGAAACTCACTTCACATCGAACTTTAACGATCTAAATCATCTATTTTGTAAGTCTCGATTCATAGATTATCATTACAATAATTTAATTCAATCCGAAACCATTTATCTATTTAATTATCAAAAGAAAATTTCATTATTTTTTATATAACAAAGTATTCGTTAATTTATTTGAACTCAATTAGATATCTTAAACATTTTCGATTTGGCTAATATCTTGCAAGGATGATCTATGAGGTGCAACTTAAAAAATAGACGGTTCGGATCATTAAAGTTCAATATGGTGTGAACCCTACAACTAATCCCATTTTTATAAAAAAAAAAAAAAAAAAAAAAAAAATGGAATCCCTTCCCTTAAAGGTTCCCTATATAGGAAAAGGATTCTCGTTGGATCTTTTTTCTCTGGATCACAAAAATCTCTTGATCGTAACCGTTCACCGTATATCGTACGTGTTGACAATTGACAGGACATCTATTCATTCAGTTGGAGCATATGAACACTTGTTCGATTGTCAAACGTTTGTATTTTTGTCTCTCTCCGCAATGTATACGTTGACAATTGACAGGGACATCTATTCATTCATGTGGAGCATACTTGAACACTTGTTCGATTGTCAAACGTTTGTATTTTTGACTCTCTCCGCAATCCGAATTGACCTGGTGTCTCTAGTTTTCATTTGGTTGTCTATTGTCAAGATGCATGATTAAGCAGGACGATTTCCACACTCCCATTTTCTCTTTTGCACTCACCCCTTTTTTCGTTGTGTTTGGATTGAATAAATCAAAGGATAATGAACGGGAGCGTGTAAGCAACTCCCATGGAATGTCATGTCTAATATGATAGCAATATGAAGAATGAAACCTTAATAAATTTCAAGTTTCATAGTATGAACAGTAAATTGTAAATGCTGAAGGAGGTCTTCAACTTGCAAATCATCGAAATCTAGTACAAACAATCATGGCTACGGAAAATATGGTTCATCAAAAGCACCCGATACTTGTTCTGGCATAGCGAGGACTGATACTCGGAATCGACATGACTCACAAACTTTCTCTAACATTTACAGATCAGCTTCGTTCAGGTATGCGCTGTAGCTTAAATATCGCGCTGAGTATGCCAATTTCCCGTGTAAAATAATACTGCTGGGAGAATGATGAGGCTGGCTGCAAATAATTCGGGGTCGATGGTCCCATGGGGCGGTCACCTACCTTGGTGTCTTGCAGGAGGAGTTTCCTCTCTCACTTCCAGGATCAATAGCTTCAATTTCACACCCCTCTAAACTAAGAGGAATGTTGTTGACACTTGGTTCGGAGCTAGCATTGCTGCATGTGGCAAGAGGAGAGTCCATCGCACCAGTTGTATTGCTTTTTGTTGGTTTAATTCTGACACTATACCCAGAGGAAGCTGGAACATTCGTCAGAACTGGCCGTAGATTGCCTGGCATGCTTCGCCTTATATCCTGTATAAAGAAAATTCCAAAATTTAAGTTAAATGCTACTTCTGAAAACGGGTTTTGCTAGTCATGTGGATAATTTATGAATCAAACCAAGCATAATTTGGAATTGGATAGTACAAAGTGGAATGCAAGATCCGAATGAAGGGAAACAACATGCACTTGAACAAGGAAAGTGATGCATACCATGTGCCTCATAGCCATATCAATGGACTTCTTTGAAAGATTTCTTCCAAAGCCTGAGCTTTCAGAGGATGAAGACTTCCCACCGGAACCGTTATCAGTATTATGATGGTCATAATGCTTAGGTGGTGCCAGTTTCCGCGAGTTTACTACTCTCTCAACCATTTGTGTTCCAATAAGTACAGGGTTCACATCATCATTGTCATGAGAAGATGATCTGCTTATGACTCGATGAGAGTTCCCATTGGTAGTGGTACTAACATTTGAAGCCCGTGCTCTAGAAGGTGAACACGATTGCTGTCTTGGTTTTCCATTAGAACCAGCCATAACAGAAGATGATTTAACACTTGGCGCTCCAGGCCTATCCCTAGAGGCTGAAGCCGGCCTTTGTGGCACTGATGTTCTTAAAGTTGGGGGCGCATCATGTGAGAAACCAGGAATCTCAGAGGATTTCAAGGGCCTTGGTTTTACCGTCGGAGAACTTCCACGTGATGAAACTGGATTTTTTGAACTTGTGGGGCGTAACTTTGATGCTGAAGAAGATCGACCAGGAGGGGCAGATACGGCAGCTGCACTTGATGAACTTGATGAACTTGGTCGATGGGTTGGTGTTGCTGGTCTTGATGTTGACCTGGAAGCTGGTGCAGAGGGTCTGGTAGTTGGTGCAGAAGGTCTGCCAGTTGGTGTAGAAGAACGAGCTGTGGACCTAGAAGGAGTTGAAGACCTTACGGGAGGAGCCACAGGCTTTGGGGATGATAAGGTGGCTCGAGAATTTGGGGTGGAGGATCTTGAGGGCTTGGTTGTTGAAGGTAATGTGGACCGTCCAATTGGTGTTGCAGATCTACGAGTAGCAGGTGATGAGGGCCTTCTGTTACCGGAACTGGAAGAGTTCAGTCCAGACGGCAATGTTGGCTGCTTAGATGTTATATTGTTCCTTGAAGCAGATTCTAGCTGGTTGTTTGCTAGCTGAAAGTCCCAAGTTATGGGAAACATGACAACATAAATTTGCAAATGACAACTTCATAAGTCAAACGAAATGTCTCCCAAAACAATCAATAGAACACCATTTGCAATCATAAGTTTGTAACTTGTAAGTAAGGAAGACTAAAACTATGGGAAGATTCAAGTCCAACCTTACTATGACACACATACATCTCATAGAATCTACTATCAATGAGTCAAATGTACAAATGCTGCACATACATTTCGTAGAATTAACATCAATGAGTACAGATGCTGCGCATGCACTTCATAAAATTAAAAACAAATGAGTCAAATGTCCGAATGCTACACATACATCTCATAGAATTTAACGCTTCTATGTATTTAGAATGTGTTAGCTAAAGTCCTTACCCGAGATTTTGGGGCGGATGCACGGTCATTAGTAATCTCACTCTGATTCGTCGTAGTTTTCTGCACTTCCATATCCAAGGATGAAAAAAGTGGAGTAGCTGGTGGTGTAAGAAGCCTGGACACAGAAAAGATTACCGATAGATCCGATACCACAACAAATGACTCAACATTACTACGACGCGGGAGTCCAGACCAAAGCATAGAGATTAGAGTGAGAAATAGAAGTCTACAAAATTGAACAAGGATTTCTGTCATATGAAGCCTCAATCAGTTTTTCTTGAAAACAGTCCTTAGAAACAGAACTGCCCCTGATTTTTCAAACACCTCAGCAAAATGTTTTAGAAATCAGATCCCAGTTCATTAGTCCTAGGATAATTTAATCCCACCCAATTTAGCAACCCAACAGTTTTCTTCATCAATTCAACAAGTTACCATAACCAGAGACTTAAACTTTGATTAGTCCTACGGAAATTTAATCCCACCAAAAACCAAGACAACTTTGACAATAATTTACTCACCAATCGTAGTCAGATTTCTCATTCTCCGAATTTAAAAACTCATCCACCCGGATCTTCGGCTGGGGCGGTGGCGCCGCCCCAACAGTCCTGGAAACCGCCGCGCCTCCGCGGTTGTCAGATTCTGCAGAAACCAAACACAACCCACCATCAAAACCAACCTCATAAACCCAAAAAAACAACAAAGACTGAAACTTTAAACCAAAAACAAGAAACCCAAATGCCGTCGTACCCGGAGGAGCAACAGCGGCAGCAATAGGGTCGAGCTCGTCGGCGTTCTTGTTCGGGGGAAGGAGGAGAAAGCCGGCATTTTTCTCCTTGTCCTTCTCGCGCCTCCGCATCTCGAGAAACAGAGCGAGCTCTTCGTCTCTGTCGTTGACGTTCACCACCTTCCCGAAGCTCCGTTCTCGCGCCCTCGACTCCACAGTAACTTCCATGGTCGTCTCTGCAGCTCAGCAAACACAGAGGCTTCGAGAAGAGAGAGAGGAGGGGGGGGGGGCGGAGTATTTCTGTAGCTGAAATTTCGGGTGCTGAGTTTTTTTTGTAGTATTTTTCTGATTGCTTTGACAAGAAATAGAATATCTCAGTCAGTCGCTCTCTCTCTCTCTCTCTCTCTCTCTCTCTCTCAATCTCTCTCTCTCTCTCTCTCTCTCTCAATCTCTCTCGTTTTGGAAGCATTCAGAAATTTGAACAAAAAAACGAAGCATTGGGAAATTAATATTTTATTTAATGTGGGTAATTTGTGAAGATTGGTGCTGAATATGGGCTGAGATATGGGGATAATTACGACTGTGCCATTGGATTTGCTCTTGCGAGACGTGGCATTCTCTTGATCATTTTCCTCATAAACGGTAGACATGTGAAGAAGATACAAGATTCATGATGCATGTGAACTTCATGGAAAGTTTTGGCCTTGGAAAATAAATGATTTTGGGGTTAGTGAAAAGCTTAAATTTCCTGTGATAAGGTGCTCATAATATTTGCAAAGAATGATCGAGATTTGGACACGTAATTTTGAATGAACAAGGTTAACCTTATTAACAACTTGAGTTGCAAAATTTTTAATTTAACAATTTAGCATGTAAGAAGTCATTGGGAGAGGATTACATGAGGTTAATTTTCACATTGTTTGTAACTATAGCCTATTAATTTGGTATATATTATGTTCTTGATTGTTAATATTATGTATGATTAATGATCATGTAAAATGCGTGATTAAAATTAACAGTCTAACAACTTAATATGTTGAGTGATAGAAAATACTAAGCTATTTTGTCATATTTGCACATGTACATGTCAACTACAACCTCAACCATACCTAGGTTTTGTAGTTAAGCATAAGCTAAAATCAATCATCAATCAATAAATAACCCTATGAATTTTGATGATAAACAAGTTTAATTTTATTATAATGAAACGGTGAGACATGAGGAATAAGATGGATTGTTCCTCGTCAAGACGTTGAGTCGGATCATGTCGTACAGTTTTGTTGTTTTGTTTTTTTAATTTAATGAAACGGTGAGTTTGTAAATGGGGGTTTAAGATTTTAATATTATTTCTAAAAACAACATATTCATCTATTATTTGCATACATCCCTTTTGCCCTCCTCTTACGAAAAGATGCAAACCTGAATTATTTTTGTATGTTCTTTCTATATTTTAAATTTTTTTAGCGGTTACCCTACTCTTTGCCTCCCACTAAGTTGTATTGCAAAGTTTTTTTATTCTCTCTATTAAACTGAATGGGTCTTTCAATTTTGTAAAAATTACTTCAATTAATCACGCAATGAGTTCAACATTTTTTCCCATACATATATGAAAGGCACTCCTTCACATAGAACCCTGACTCTACCACAGTGAGAGGACCAGAAAGAAGAGAAATTTGAAAATAAGAGAATCCTACTCTCCATAAAAGATTAAAACTTGCATAAAATACTTGATTACTTGCAATAAAAGAAATCTCATAATTAATAGGTAACATTTCATTTTCTAATAATAATTGAGAGGATAATATCCCAGTATCCCAGATTTGAAGCTGATGACGAAATGAGTGGTAATATTGTAATTAAGTGCAACGACAAACCCATTTAATTATGAGATTTAAAACGGGAGAGAAACATTCCCGTTAACAATGGCACATGCTAGAAGCCAGGAGCCTTTGACTGACGACACGTCGTATTGAAACGCCGAGGAATTTAATTCAAACTTCGTTGCTCAAAAGATGCTCGGATTTAAACGTGGGCTGTTGGATTCCTTTCCTCGAGATGACCTACTCCGCATCGGACGGATGCTGTTGGTCGGCGAATTTAAAAGGGGCGCATGGCGTGGGTCCCGCCCAGAGAATCGTGTGGTTTAAATTTTGGGTATCTTTTCTCAATTCGTGGGCCCCGATTAGATTGCAGATTGCCGTGATTGGTCACTAACCTATGGCCCAAAAAAAGCCCAACCTGAAAAGGATCATATCATGAGTTATTTTTATTCAGCTAAAAAGTTCTTTAATTCTTTTCTTTATCAATAAATCTACACTTTTAGGCCTTTTAGTTTAAGATAATTTTCACTTTGAATCATGTAATTTATATTTTAGAAAATTTTAGACATGCATTTTGTGTACTATTGTAATTTTGAGTTGCTAATCTCATTAGAATTGACGATGAAATATGATATTGCAGTACAAACATGTTTCATATGTTAAATTTGAAGACAAATGCTTTCCAAATCAATTCGAGAAAGGATTTTGAGCATTTGAACTAAATATCGTTTTTATGGCACGTTTTTCAAAATCAACGCACTTAAAATCTCAACAAAGTACAATATAAGTAACAAAAATGATCCTTCCATTTTCAATCCTCAAACAAAAAACTTAGGAATCGATTTTTATCAATTTTCATTTCTGCGTACCAAACATAGTGTGTTTTTAAGTTTCGAGACAAAAATGAGATAAGAGCAATTTTAAGTATGGATAGGAATACACGTTTGTGTTACTTGTGGTATTTTTGGGGTCGGAAGTGAGTGAGACGTAGGGCATGTCGCATGCTTAATAATCCTCGATGTTTTGAGCCCCATGCAGGGGTAGGGGCACGTGGTTGTCACATTAAAAAAAATTTATGTTTGGTAAAGATTCAATTTCAGTTTTTTTTCACAATTTTTGGTGAAAAAAAAGCCAAAAACAAGAAGCTGCAAAATCCAGCTTTAAAAAACCGGCTTTTTTCACATCTGTTTTACATAAAAGTTTACCAAACACAATAATACTGTTTTTTTTTTCAAAAGCATTTTTATAAAAAAGTTTACCAAACCCTCTACAGCTTTATTTCACAGCCGCTTATTCTTACAGCACAGCAGAAACAGTTTTTTTTCAAAGCAGAGCAATACCAAACTAGTCATAAGTGTGGAATTTTTGGTGATGATCCGAGCAATCAGTGCCAAAGACATAAACAAGACAATGATCAGGTCCTATCGTCCTCAACACAAATAATGCATTTCTGGCTGCAGGGAATAAGAACAATAATTGCATGGTGGTGGGCATCACCACATAATTGCAAGGGAGAAGTTAGCCACCTTTTCAATCCAATATTCTTGTCTTACTTTTTCGGTTATCTTTTTTTGATGATACAAGTTGATTAAAATCATCACTTTTTGGATCATCCTTAACAACCAAATTATGAATCTTTTAACGCACAATTAACATTGTAAAACATGGTTGTCTATGATTAGATGAATGTTAGATGACTAAAAAATTTCGGATTTGGTTGATTTTGACAAGTTGATCTTTAAAGAGTGATCATCGTGCAACATTACGGATTGAGAAATAGAGCCGAGAATCTAGAACGACAAGGTTCAAACGAGATGGTTGCTCCTCTAATTGCAATATTTGATATTTCTGTCCATTTTCCTGATAGGCAACTCAATCAGTGTAAGGCGAACGTAAACTCAAGTACTTAAAAAGCAATTATTCGCTCCTGTCGCAGTAGGTTTGTGTCAAAAACTGTCGCAGGCAATTAGATTCATGCATAAATGATGAGCTCATAAACAATATTTTGTTTCTGTTGGGCAACTTTTTACTAACTAGAAGCAACAGTTACAGGAAGGTGAACCTCTCCTAACCAGAAAAACAAAATGATCCATTTGATTAGACTCGCTCGGACTAAACAAAATCATCCGTTTCATCCTAGGACTTTCGAAGGTTCTTTGTCGGAAGAACTGTAACGCTGTCAGTTGGTTCTTCAGGAAAAGCGTCCAGCAACTCAATTCGCCATGGGTGAACCACTGCTCCAACACCTCTCAACCCCGAAGAGGCACTGCATCCATATTAAAGCCCTGAAATTGAGGAGCCTCCGGTGGAAAATGGATGAGGCTATATGGAGAGAGGAGAATGGCGAGCATGAAAACGGTCACACCACAATAGCCATCACAGAGTGGAGAAGAAGGGCAAGGTAGCGAGGAGTGTGATCATGTAGAACATTATTCCTTTCACTACAAAGATACCAATTGATGAATCGGAACCAACAAAGCTCCTGCCCTGACAAGACATGCCGCAGCTGCTTCCATAAATCCATACCAGCACCTCAACACCTTTGGGAAGTGCATCAGTAAAAGCCGTCGTCTCCTACTTGTCCAAACCATACTGCATGCCAACGGTTCAGAACTTACCCCACATCTGAAGCATGAGGCTGAGTTCCCCACCCAGTGCTTGGAAACAGAATGCAGGAACGCAGAAGGGCATGTCATAAACAAAATAATCAAATCCTTGTACCTTGGAACTTCCCATTTACAAGAGTATCATATGTATTGTCATCTGGAACAAGGCCTTTGTCAAGCATTTCATCATGCAACCTAAAAGCCTCTTGCAAATTACCCTCCTTGAAGTTTCCAGCAATCAGAGTATTATAAATGAACACTAGGAGTCATACCCCGCCTATCCATGTCTTCCAAGTTCTTGCGTGCACTCTCTAGCTGTCCTTTGTTATGAAGGGCATTTATCAGAACCGTATATGTGTTTGTATCAGGTATAATTCCCTTCTGAAGCATCTCTGAGTAGAGATCTGTAGCAGATTGTAACTCACCTTCTCTTAGCAATCCATCGATTAACGTAGTGTATGCCTTCAAATCACAAGGAATACCGTCTCTAATCATCTTGTTGTGCATGTCAAGGGCTGCTTCCATGTTATTTAAATTCCGGAAGCCAGATATCATGCTACTGTAAACAACTACATTTGGAGATAAACCAACTTCAAGGAGTTCTGAGAAAAGTTCATGGGCAGTTCTCATGTCTCGTCTTTTGCAAAACCCATCAATGAGAGCAGAATATGCAGTAACATCCACTTCGATGCCCTTGTTTTTCATCTCATTCCACATTTTCAAAGCCATATCAATTTGATTGCTTTTGCAAAACCCATTAATAATGCTGGTGTAAGTGACAACATTGGGGGAGACTTCACCTTCACACATTTCTCTGTACACAGCCAGTGCAGAATTAATGTCACCCTCCTTGATATACCCATCGATAATGCTATTGTAACTAATACATCCAGGAACAAAACCCCTTGCAACAATTTTCTTTAGCATCTCACTTGCCTCAGACGTACGACCAGCTCTGCACAAGCCATCAATGACAATGCCAACTGTGAAGCCTGT